TCTTTCTCTCGGCTTCAACCTAGATCCACGAGAGTATGGTGAGTTATTTTTGAAGGAGTTTGACAAAATTCCAAAATTTTCAGAGAATTTGACTTTTAATTTTGGCGACTTTGTAAACATGTGTCATTAAGCATGTACACAAAGGTTCAGTTTTAACTCTATATTTTGCCAAATGGCTTTTTAATCCTCATATTTAAAACTCCCAGCTCTGAGCTCTGTGTGTATGTATCCATGAATAAGTACCTGCATTTGCATAGCATCTCTGACTTTAGTAGGTAATTGTATGTCTTTAATTTCATATCTCATGCAGCGAATACCCCAAGCATCAGCAGCATGATTGATAGCATCTATCAGATAAAATATTATTTCATCATCATCATCATTAGGTTTCACACAGGGTTTTGGCACTAAAAACTATGTACTGTGATGGTACAGGGATTCTGGCCAAATTTTGCCAATAATGAAAAGTAGAGAATTTTCAATTTTTATAATTTTATCTGATACGTATACATGTTTTTATGTTGCATAGAAAGTTTGAGTTGATTCCAATCAAGTTTGAATTTTTTATGAATTTTTAAAGTTACTCCAAAATCAGGCCAAAGTCCCTGTACTATAGTACAGGGTCATCGACCAAATTTTGTCAAAAATGACTAGGAGAGAATTTTCCATTTTAATAATATTTTCTGATGCATATACATGTTCTTATGTTGCACAGAAAGTTTGAGCTAATTCTGATCAAATTTGGATTTTTTATGAATTTTTAAAGTTACTTCAAAATCGGCCCAAAGTCCCTGTACTATAGTACAGGGTCATCAGCTAAATTTTGCCAAAAATGACTAGGAGAGAATTCTTCATTTTTATAATTTTTTCTGATACATATACATGTTCTTATGTTGTGTAGAAAGTTTGAGCTGATTCCGATCAAGTTTGAATTTTTTATACATTTTTCAAAGTTCCTCAAAATGGGCGTCAATTAGAATACAGTTTTACGTGTACTTGCCGATTCCTTCTTAAAACTCACAGTAAATACAAAATGCTAACAATAATGTTTAAAACGAAGTCATTATATAAAACTCACCTACAATACTGAAGTTCAAGTTAGTTCTTTCCTGAAATACAGAGTCAAGTTTTATTTTTCCTGCAAACAATAAAATCTCATTCAATCAGTAACATTGATTAAAGTCATGGAATGTGCAAAAAGAAACATTATGTTCATTATTAAGAATTGTTGTACCTAATTCAGATCTCATTGTTGTTTGTGCTAACTGTATTACAGCAAATTCAGCATCTTCAACTCCATATGATGTCTGTGATAAAAATTAATTTAGTACTGGTCTGTGTTTTAGTATGTTGGTCAGACCAACATAATAGAACACAGGCCATGATATTTAATAATGAATATTGACATTTAATGCAATTTTACAGTTATTACCTTGAATGGATCGATAACACGATAGTATAGGACACCATCCAAATGCAGTGTCACGTTATCTGAAAAAATATTCAATGATAAAGTCAAACTTTGCCATTTTACATTTTTACATTATTACATTGTCATTGTTACCTTCAGTGATAGCTGATTGTGATGGAATATCAACAGCAGTCTCCTTTAGACTCTGGACATATTTTATAGTATCAACAATCGGTATTAGTATATTCAGCCCCTATATAGTGTGAGAAAAAAAATTACTTGTACATTTAATGAAAAAAAACACTGGTTTAAAAATCATCATTTTAATGTCCTAAAAACTTAATTGCACACACTAACTGGTTCTAGAGTCCTCAAATATTTTCCAAATCTCTCAACGATCCAAGCCTCCTGCTGTGGCACAAAGTTAATGCACTGGAATAATAAGAAAAAAACAAAACAATAATAAAAATAAACAGGCAATAAACAAAATTTTTACTTATACAAGGCCAGATGACATTACATAGGTAACTACAGAGATTTGGGGGTGACGTTCCCTTTAATAATAATGCCCAATAATTCCAGCATAAAAACAAATACTTCAAATGCAAAATTACATTAATAACTTACTGTATTAGTTCTTCTAGCATCTAATGGTCTTGTAGTAGACAGACACATCACTCCAGGAGGAAATTGTTTTATCTAGTAGTTTAGAAAATCAATAAAAAGAAGTCACGACATTCTAAATACTGACCAGCCTTTGTTGCTGTCGAGGAAAGAGCAAGAAAGAACGATGAAGGACACTCGCCATTATACTAAACGTGTTTTTATTACATAATATTCATAGACTAGGTGGAGCAATCATCACTCATGCGTGCAGGGCTCAGCTTAGCTCAAATGCTTGTTCAGCAGACCAGCAGTTATTGATTTCTCTGGCTGTAGAGCTAGTCTATAACTGAATAATATCATGCAGCTCCAAAGTTTCATTTTCGGGTTGTTCATATCATGCTGTGCTGCAGTATTCTTCCTCCCTCAACTAAAAGCAGCACCAAATTCATCCAGCAACTCTCCTTATAATCTGGTAAGTAATCTCCAAACAGGTTACTACTGCAAAGAAGTCATAGCTGGGCCTTCTTGGCGTTACCAGCCAGGTAACTGTGGTGTCATCAGGAATCGATACATGTGGTTGGATGCCGTGGGCTTTGAAACCATGACTAACTTCAAGTCACTCTTTAATGTCACAGAATTTGAAATCGATTCTGGGAGTGTGCCCCTTTTTCTCAAAGAGGAACTGGGTCTTGAATTATTGAAGGTCGGTGAGCAGGGGAATGATGACAGGTTATGGTGGGCGCTAGCATTTATCAATGCCTATCGTTATAATCCTAATAATACTGAGTACTTGAAGGTTGCCGAAGCTGTTTATCAAGATATTAAGGACAAATATTGGGACCCTACTTCCTGTAGTGGAGGGGTATGGTGGGATCTGGCAAGAAGTTATAAAAATGCTATAACCAATGAGTTGTTTCTGACCGTTGCAATTGATCTTTATCAGGTAAAGAAAGAACAAGATTATCTTGATGAAGCAAAGAAAGCAGCTGACTGGTTTATTGATAGCCAAATGGTAAATGCTAGCTCATTAATTAATGATGGTCTTAAAATCAACAATTCAAGTGGGAATTGTTCAAGGACTGGACCAGCGTGGACCTATAACCAAGGCGTCTTTCTTGATGGACTGGCAAAACTCAGTTACGAACTATCGAATCAAACTTATTACTTGCAAGCCATGAAAACTTTTAATGCTGTGATTGATCCTAAAAATCATTTGGTGTCAAAAGATGGAATCCTAACTGAGTTCATTCCAGAAGGAGGCCATGTCAATGAAAACACACCTGCTTTTAAAGGTGCCTTTGTACGTCACCTTGGTTACATGCTTCCATTCAGTACTGATCAAGATGCTGTCATTATATGTCAATTTGTAAAAAGGAATGCTCAGATGGCCTTGATTCAAAAATGTCAGTACAAAGCTGGCCCCATGATTCCTTATCTCTGGGATAGTGACTGCACTGCTGAAGGAAACTTAGTATCTTCGACTACTTCATTTACTGGAATAGACCTTTTAAATACAGCTCAAATTTGCCAGAACCGATTGACTTTAAAACAAGCTTCTTAGGATTAATTTTAATTTTTGATCCTTTTGTTAGTATTGTATATAAAACACTTGCTTTAACTTGCTGTATACATGCAATACATTTTTTCTCACCCACGCAGAATAATTAATTCTAGGTTTGAAATATTTAACCCTCAAAATGGCGGCAAAGTGAAAGGCAGTTTGGTGCAATATGATACGATTTTCTGCTCTTAACAAGCAAGATAGTGACACTGGCTCTCAATCATGTCGTTCAGACAAATCATCTCAGCCAACAAGAGAAGCTCAAGTATGTAAATGCCTATAATTTAACAGTGGGCAGCTAGCAATACATGTAACTAGTAACTATGAGGTTTGGTGTCAATTTCAAGATCAATTTACTGAATTTTTAAATTTAAAAAAAATTGTAAAAAATCTAAACTTGATCGGAATGGCCTCAAACTTTCTACACAACATGAAAACATGTATATGCATCAGAAAATGTAATAAAAATGGAGAATTCTCTCCTAGTCATTTTTGGTGAAATTTGGCCGATGACCCTGTACTATAGTACAGGGAGTTTGGCCAAATTGTGCTAAAAATGGCTAAGATAGAATTCTCCATTTTTATTACATTTTCTAATGCATATACATGTTTTCATGTTGTGTAGAAAGTTTGAGGCCATTCCGATCAAGTTTGGATTTTTTACGAATTTTTAAAGTTGCTCCAAAATCTGACTAAAGTTCCTATACTATAATAGTATTAGTGTAAATATTTTTGCTTGCTCTTTTTTGTTATGAAAAAAAATCTCTCAATCACTACTGAATAGAAAAAGATTACAGTAAAAGAAATGATTATAAAACTGCTACAGTTCCAGTACATTTTTACTGATTATGTCCTTTTGAGGAAGCCCCTTTCACATAATTTTAGCCTTTTAGTGGCTTCTTGCCTTCATTCATTGCGACAGGTATGGTAACCACATCACCTCCATCGACATCACTGCAACCTTCTTCTTGAGCTTTTGTGTCTTTATCCTCTTGAGCTTTTGATTCTTCTTTCATCTGCTTGTTAACTTTCTGTGCTTCAATTTCTTGGATTATTTGCTGTTTTCGCTCCAACTCTGCTCTCTCTTCTTTTGCCTTTTGTGTTTGTATTTCTAGTGCCACTTGTTGCTTTCGTTTCATTTCAGCTGCTTCCATTTTCTGAGCTATTTTTTGTTTTCGCTCCAACTCTTCAGTCTGCTGGCCTTGGACTTTATTTATTTCCAGCTTTCCTTTAGCTCCCTCTGCTTTTATTTTTTGGTTCTTTCCCGAGCTCGTTTTTGCTTTCTCTCCTACTTCTTCAACTTTAACTTTTGGCACTACCGTCTTCTGTGTTTTTGTGTCTTCCTTGGCCTTTTCCTCTGTCTCTGCTTTCTCCTCTTTTATAACTTCTTGTGTCTTCATTTTTTGCTTTGTTTTTGCTCCTTTTTCATCAGAGCCTCCTTGCTCTTGAGCTAGCTTTTGCTTGCGCTCAGATTCTATCTTCTGCTCTCGAGCTTTCTCTCCTTGTATTTTCATCTTGACTTCCAGCTTTGCTTTTTGCTTTTTAATTTTTTGTATCTTGGCTAGCTTCCGCTTATACTCCAGCTCTGCTTTTTGCTCTTTCACTTGTTTTGCTTCAATGGCTGCTTTCTCTTTACTCTCTAGCTTAGCTTTAAGCTGCTCTTTATCGTCCTGCCCTTTGGCCTCGTGAGATTCGACCTCCTCCCATTTTGTGTCCTTTTCTTGTGACTTCATGTCCTTCTCTTTGCTGCTCTGTACATCCAGCTCCTTTCCAAGCTCTGTCATTTTATTCTTGTCTTCATTTGGACTGTCAACAGGCAATCCAGTGCACAGCTGATCAAAGATTAAGAGGAGACAGAGTATTTTGAGTATCATCTTTGATTGTGCTACTGTCTCTCTCTTAGTAACAAATGACTATTTCTTATGGTCCTTTTATACTGTAGCATTTCCTCATTGAATCCATACATCAAGCATGTACATGTACATGTACTTGTATGTACATGTAAGTACGTGTGTGTCTGTGCATGTGTTGTGTGTACTTCATTGTTATTGGTTGTATATTTACACTGTCTCTTCTTCCGTGAATTTCTATGTGACTAGATGCTCAATTTTGAGATAACTACCACTGCCAGCTACATGTAGCTTATGTTATTCTCTCCCTCCCTCTCTCTCTCTCTCTCTTCCCTCTCCCCCTCTCTCCCTCCCTCTCCCCCCCTCTCTCTTAATGTAGGAGTCAGCTTTGTTAAAGCTCTACCATGAAGCTGTTAAGGAGCAACAAGAGGGTCATCTTGATAAGGCAAAGTCTCTCTATTGTGACATTCTTTGTTCTCCTGTCATTGAAAATGTAAGCGGATACACAATGTACATGTACATGTACATGTACATAATGTACATGTACATGTACATGAATAATCTGATTTATTTTTACTGTATTACTGATAGGATGAAGCTGGCGTCTTGCAGAAAATAAAGTTCTTTATTCTCAAGAATCTTGCTAGTATAGCGAAAGAGAGAGATGATATGCCCACTGCTGTCTCAGCATATCTTGAGGTATGTACATGTACATGTGTATACATGTATATTTTATTTGAATAGGCGTCAAAGATTGATGATACTGACACTCTATTGTGGTATCAGTTAGCAGTGGCTGCTGGATCATTAGGTGATCTCAATATCATGAGAAGATCACTGGAAAAAGTATTTACAATACACATTTTTCCACCAATTAATTTCTTTTCTATTTTACCCTTCCCTCTCCTATTTTTCATTCTCCTTCTTCTACTCTAGAGTATTCATTGTAATAATCAGTACTGGCCATCTGTTGATCTTTATTTCACAGTATTGTTAGCCCTCAAGGATTACCATGGTAAATGCTGCTATTTTTATAATTATATTATTGTTATTATTATTATTATTTTGCTAGCTTGTCTTCAAGCTGTATTGATGGCTCTTCAGTTTAATCCACATTACTCTAGAGGTAACAGCTGCTTTATTTATATAAGAGAAGGTTGATTTATTCCCTTAGGTCTTTTTGTATTGAAACACATTACAAAGATGAATCCTAACTTCTTATATCAAGAACCAAAATTAAGAATGTAAGCATCATTTACTCTTGATATTATTGTATATGTGTATTTTCAGACACCTTGATGCTAATCCTGTTATCCCACCCAATGATAAAGTAAATGATTTAGTAATTGTGTGATGGTTCTTTCCTCAGATACTTGTTGAAGTAAAAGAGTTGCAAAGGTCTTATCAATTGCTTGAGCAGGTCACACTGCTACCTGAATCAATATCACCCAACAATAAGATAAAATTAATGAGGTAGTAGCATTATTGCTTTTAGTTCACTGGATTTATGATTCTTTTCTTATAGTGTTACTTCATTGGGAAAGTTCCTCATTTCGACTTATCAGCAGTGCTTAAAGTATTCAGAGAGAACTGGTCAGGTATGTGCATGTACATGTACATATATTTAATAATGAATGAACTGTTACTTATTTTAGCCCTCACTGACATGCAGTGTGTCATTATATCATGCTCTTGATGATGCTAAAACACAAGGCAAGTAGAAGAAAAGTATAGGGTATATTTTATACAATGAAAGTATATGTACATGTACATATTATACAAATATAACTGATTAACATTAGAATTGTATGCCTTACACTGTAGATATGAAATCAGATAATGCTGGAGCTACTCCTGGACCTAGTGACATAGTCTCTCCTTCTAAAGGTAGTACATACTCTTAAAGAGCAAGAAATAAGTCTATACAACCTTCATATGTACATGTACATGTACTTGAGTTTTGTTTCATTTGCTAGAGGTACCAACTGCAGAGAGGAAGAGACGCCTTCAATTTGATAGTGATTTGTATTCAGCACCAAAGAGACGATCAACAAGAGTAAGATCATCTATAATATGCCCTTTTCACCTCCCTCTCTCATCTCCTCTTTTTTCATTTCTCTAGGTTAAAGGTAAAGAGAAAGAGACTCAGGATTACTTTCAAATGATTCGTGATTATCTTCCCCCTCACCTGAGGTCAGTATTCATAAAGCTAATCTTTCCATCTCTGCACATTCAAACAATGCAACAGTTACTCTATCACTGACAGCCATTGAATGCATCACAACCTTACTTGTATAATTAAAGATATATACATCACATAATAGATTATATTAATGTATTAATTCATTACTGATTAGACTTAGTGAATGTCCTGATCTGAGTCAAGTAGCTCCTCTGGTTGCTAAGTCAAGTAATAAAGATAAGGAGGAATCATCTTCAAAGTAATACACACTAAAATATTACTATTACATCTCATCTCTCTTCTATTCTCATTTCTTTCTCCCTTACTATATGCACATACACTGTAGAAATGGTCCAGGTAATAGAGTGTGTGTGTGTGTGTGTGTGTGTGTGTGTGTGTGTGTGTGGGTGTGTGTGTGTTAATACATGTACATGTACATGTGTGTGCTTATCTTTAGATAATAGTTTAAACTCATTCAATGAGTCAGTTATTGTTAAAGATTTCGTTGAGTCTCATTATAGCAACAAGTAAGGACTCTCTTGCACTTACAAGTACAGTGTACACATTCTCCTAGTGGTATTGTTCATCTTATTACTGAGTTCCTTTACACATTGTCGTCCTACTATGACCAGAGATGGTAAGTTAATGCAAAATGTACAATTAAATCATTTACATGTACACATACATGTACATGTAGTATTAATACTATTTTACACATTTATATGTCCATGTAGGTCAAAGACTGATCCTCAAATCTTCATTGAATGTTATGAATTGGTTCATGTTCATCTCAACTATCCTTCATTGTTCTGGTTAGTGTAGCAATGGATTCACTATAATACACGTCATTTTAATTTTATTAAAACTATACTTTTTGCTTGTTATTGTTTTATTTCTAGTGCATCAACTGATGCAGGTTATGCTGATCAACTCTTTATGGTATGTCATTTTGTTTTTTTATTGATTAATGTTGAATGTCAGATGTACGTGTACAAACATGATTTCTTTCCTTTATTCTGTAGATTGCTCTCTCTTATTTGGAGCTTAAAATTGATGTCTCTTCCTCCTCAAAGTCAGCCCCTGCCCTCCTCAGCTCTTTGCCCTCATGCTTCAACAAGTGTCTCCTGTTTGTACAGTATTACCAGAAGAAGACACAGACATCAAAAATAAGAGGTTAATTTATACCTGAATTGTGTACATGTACATGTACATATTATACTTGTATTATAATTTATAGTTGTTTATTTTATTTTTGGTTTAACTTTTATATTCTAGTTGAGTGGCTCAAAGGAAAATGGGCCTCATTGAAAAAAGATAAACAAAATGCTGTGACATATTTTCAAAAGGTTAGAAATACGTTATACTTATTATTTATTTATTTATTTATTTATTTATTATTATTATACAGTGCAGTGATCTATTGGTTTCACTGAAGGATGATTCCACTGATATGGAGACTCATGATACGAATGACACTAATGCCTTTCCTACTTATATTAACCTGCTGAACTGTAATAATGACAGCATCATTACTGAAGGTATTAATGCATGACAATAAATTAATTCTATTATAATTCAACAGCTAAAATTGCAAGGAAAATAGAATCACTTGAGCAACTAATATCACTTGAAAAAGTAAGTGAATGTAGAGTTTGTTTATTGTCTGACATTATGCATATGTACATGTACATGTACATGTACATGTATGTACGTGTAGGTACAGTTATGTTATGAGAAGGAGGAGTTAGAGAGTGTAGTAGATATACTGCTACCATCACTTAGTCAGGAGTCTTATACTGAAGTAAGTACATACATTTTCTGATACATATACATGTTCTTATGTTGCGTAGAAAGTTTGAGTTGATTCTGATCAAGTTTAGATTTTTTACAAATTTTAAAAGTTGCTCCAAAATTGAGCCAAAGTCCCTGTACTATAGTACAGGGTCATCGGCCAAATTTTACCAAAAATGACTAGGAGAGAATTCTCCATTTTTATTACATTTTCTGATACATATACATGTACTTATGCTGTGTAGAAAGTTTGAGTTGATTCCGACCAAGTTTAGATTTTTTACGAATTTTTAAAGTTGCTCCGAAATCAGGCCAAAGTCCCTGTACTATAGTACAGGGTCATCGACCAAATTTTACCAAAAATGACTAGGAGAGAATTCTCAATTTTTATTACATTTTCTGATACATATACATGTACTTATGCTGTGTAGAAAGTTTGAGCTGATTCAGATCAAGTTTAGATTTTTTACGAATTTTTAAAGTTGCTCCGAAATCAGGCCAAAGTCCCTGTACTATAGTACAGGGTCATCAGCCAAATTTCACCAAAAATGACTAGGAGAGAATTCTCCATTTTTATTACATTTTCTGATGCATATACATGTTCTTATGTTGTGTAGAAAGTTTGAACTGATTCCGATCAAGTTTAGATTTTTTACGAATTTTCAAAGTTGCTCCAAATGCCATGTACTGTATTGTAGTGCTTGTCAGCTCATGAAGCTCATGCTGTTTAGCTCACTTAGCATGCTTTGTGGGAAACACTGGCTCTAGTACATGTTCTATTAATTTCTTTTTAGTTTTTCTTAGGTTCATTACAGTCCAGTAGTACTGGTACTAGCTCTAGCAGTAGAGGGAACTCAAGCAACAGCAGTGGGTTTCATGGTATTCAGTATCTCTTAAACTCTTTATTCAAACTGAATAGATACAGTGTAAGATAACCAAAGAATGAGGAAAATATTGTGTACATGTACATATACAATTTTTTGCCCTACACTGTACTACATGTATGTATGAAGATTTTATTCTACTGTGTTTGATCTAGGATACATGTACTTTTTACACTATTTAATGTACATGTAAATGAATGGGCAATGAGTGAGTTTTTGATGATTATATAAAATCCTTTTTTTATTGTAGGATTGTTATTACTATTCAGTTCATTTTCTGATTGAATTATTAATATGCTATCAACGTGATGGCCACTCAGACCAGTGGTGTAAGAGTCTTTCTTATCTCTACACTACAATCAGCAAGTTAGTTTAGCATGCATCTACATGTACGTACAGATTTTTGCTTGTCACGGATTTCGTGACAATGTAACTAATGGGTTTTTATTATTAGGTGTATTGATTCTGAAACCAGTTTATTCATAAAGACAGATTCTAGAGTAACACAATTACTAGTCATATCTATCATAAAGGTATACATTATAATTCATCAATAATAAGATATCATTATTACTGTATTCACTGTATACTAGACACTTTATGCTGTACAAGAGTTAGTAGATACTCCACATAGCTCTCATCTTCCTACTATACTGCCATGGAAGCTACTGCACACTGTAATATCATTGTAAGTATTGATATCTTACTATAATTTAATGACTTTATTCATGTTTATGTACACATGTACATGAAAGTGCATGTACGCTATGTAAAATGTTAGTTATTGTTTTTTTTATTTTTAGTGATGAATGGGTTGATACTGAAGTGATGTCTTCTCCTGTTCCTCCTACTCCTTCTAATTTATCTCCATCACTTGAAACTCCTCCTCCTCTCCCTCCTTCTATTCTACCCTCTTTATCATCATCAGTTGCTACTCCTGCTACACTACATGTGTCTTCATCAACCATAACTTCTCCTAATTTATCTCCATCACTTGAAAGTCCTCCTCCTCTCCCTCCCTCTATATTACCCTCTCTACCATCATCAGCTGCTACTTTTTCAAATTTATCACTTTCACTTGCTACTCCTCCTATTCTGTCTCCATCGCTTGTTACTCCTCCTCTTCCTTCCTCTATTCTACCCTCCACAGTTACTGCTCCTCTTAATTTATCACCATCAGCTGTTACTCCTCCTATTCTATCGCCATCAGTTGTTACTCCTCCTCCTCTTCCTCCCCCTGTCTTCCCCAGTTCACTTCCTGATACTCCATTAATATCTTCAGCTATTGATCCTATAACATCATCCATTGTTTCTACTCCTTCTCTTTTTAATTTAACCGAATCTCCAGCACCTTCTGCTCCTCTTTCTCCTCAAACTCTTGATGCTACATACTCATATACTCCAATTATTGATACTCCATATAGCACACCTTCTCTTCTGAGTACTCCGCCTGTTTCTACTCCAACTCCTCCCACTAATGCTATAACTCCTCCCACTAATGCTCCAACTACAAACTCACCTACCATTGCTCCATTCACAACTTCTCCTACACAACCATCACCATCACCTAATATCACTACTACTCCTTCACCTATGACAGTATCTCCATTACCGTTAGCTACTCCTCCTGCCTCTAGTAGTGGTATATCATTTAATGTTCAGCCATTATCAGCTCCACCAGCTATTGGTACATGTACTAGTCTGTTTGCTCCTTGTCCTGGCAGTAAATCAGTTAATCCTCTTAGTTTTAGCAGCAGACGTGATGTTGGACTGTGTTTCTTAAAGTTGGCTCATGATCAGTTAGGAAGGTATTGCTTGTCATTATGTGTATCTAGTTTCAAATATAGTTTTAGCTCTGTTGTACATACGTGTATTTAATTTTCTAGTACTTTTATTGACAGAATTCTATCATTTTTATATCATACAGCTATTCTTGGTGCTGTCAAGATAAAGGATCATTTCTATTGTACATAGTCAGCCAGTTACGGACTGAACTGATGAGCTTAACCAACCTAACTCGAAACCTCAGAGAAGTAATAAATATCACCACAAAAAATAAACCAGAGCATACACTATTGTCCCAATAGATGCTGCTGCTAGAGCTGGAGCAATGCTACTACTGTCTGTATGGTTATCCTTCCAAGAAAGCTAAACAGAAAGGACTACTGGAACACAACAGTGAACAGGTACCTTATCAGTGTTTATTTATTATTTATTGTAATGTACTGTACTTGATGCATTTAATAATGATGTTGTACTTGTTAGATAAAGATCAATTGGAGTGGAGCTTTGACCCTGATTGAATATTTCCGTCCTCTTCATATCCCAACGATTGATGATGTGAAATCACCTGATGTAACTCCTGAAGTAAGTTACCTGTTGGTACACTGTGTGTGCACAATCATATAGCATCATCATTGCTTTGCCTTTATGTACATGTAACTTTTAAAATGTAGTACATTAAATCATGTGTTATTATTATAATTATATTATTATATTAGTTGATTAATCTTTATAAAAGACTGATTGAAGTAGTCCCTAACGAAGGAAAAGGTGAGTAGTTCATGATTTGATTATAAAATTGTAAAAATTATATGTACATGTACAAATGTTAGCAACTTATAATTAGAATTAGCATTAGTATTGTTGTCATTATTATTTTTAGTTGTTAGTGATGATGATTTATTGAAATATATTGAGGGATCGATTCATGAACTCATGACAACTTCACCAATTGAACATACGTAAATATATAATAAGTATTTATTGATCAAATATCATATTTATGTTGTGTTATTATGTTGAAAAATTGTGTATATATACTCTCTCTCTCCATTGCAGGTCAAAGATATCAGAGATGTATTATTTGTTGGCTGATGACAGTCTCAAACTAATGGACAATAAGTAAGAGCATTCACATTTTATGAGAAACTGCAATTTCAAAAATTTGTAAAAAATCCAAACTTGATCGGAATCAATTCAAACTTTCTATGCAACATAAGAACATGTATATGTATCAGAAAAAATATAAAAATGAAGAATTCTTTCCTAGTCATTTTTGGCGAAATTTGGCCGATGACCCTGTACTATAGTACAGGGACTTTGGCCTGATTTTGGAGAAACTTAAAAAATTTGTAAAAAATCCAAACTTGATCGGAATTAGCTCAAACTTTCTACACAACATAAGTACATGTATATGTATCAGAAAATATTATAAAAATGTCAAATTCTCTCCTAGTCATTTTTGGCAAAATTTGGCTGATGATATAGTACAGGGACTTTGGCCCAATTTTGGAGCAACTTTAAAAATTCATAAAAAATCCAAACTTAATCGGAATCAGCTCAAACTTTCTACACAACATAAGTACATGTATATGTATCAGAAAATATTATAAAAATGAAGAATTCTCTTCTAGTCATTTTTAGCAAAATTTGGCTGATGACCCTGTGCTATAGTACAGGGACTTTGGCCCGATTTTGGAGCAATTTTATAAATTTGTAAAAAATTCAAACTTGATCAGAATTAGCTCAAACTTTCTATGCAGTATAAAAACATGTATATGCATCAGAAAAGAATATAAAAATGGAGAATTCTTTTCTAGCCATTTTTGATGAAATTTGGTCTATAAAGTATACCAGTATTTTTTCTATTATTTATACCACAGTAAAGCAATCAAATATTATCAGTTGACATTGTGTTATTCGCCTGACAAGTTTGACTCGTGGGCTGGACTGGCTTTGGCTAAATCAAGAAAGATCACTGACCGTATTGAGAATGTAAGACACAAGCCATTGAATAATTATAATCATGAAAAAAGTGTATTATTTTAAGAGTTAGTCTTCACTGTATTCTATAATTACTTAGAGGGATCTTGTTACTACAGTAGAGAAGCTAGTGTCTGCTAATATAAATGGAGCGGTGAGGTACTGCTACTCCTAATTGTAGAGTCCTGATATATTCCTGTTTGATTTCATGTGCTTTTTAGATGTTTCCAGAAAGCATTAGAAATTAACAACAGACACTGCTATGTTGTGGAGAAGGTGATTAGCTATAGACCTGTATTTATTATTATATTTACTGTTTTATTATAATTATTTACTGTGTGTGCCTCTCTCTTTTAGTTTGGGTTCTTTTGCTATGCAATGCAATCATTCGCTTCACAAATTAAGAGTTTGGTAAGATATTTACTTTGATCCTCTATTTTAATATTATTATACTTCGTGATTGTAATTGGATTATAGACCTTTTATTATCAAAATTACCAAAAAATTGTTCCTTTTTAGCCTCAGTTATATAAATCAAAAGGAACTCAGGAATGGAGTCAGAAGCTCCTGCCTGATAAACTAAGACTAGCTCATGATCAGTTCACTCATGCTCTGTCACTGGAAGGAGTCTCTCATGCTGAACCATGGATATATCATTTCCTATTGGGAAAGATTAACTGGAAGCTGGAGAAACCGTTACAAATTGTACTTAATCATTTTATTAAAGTGAGTATGCATGCAGTTACTATTTTGTGAATTATTTACTTTGTGAATAATATTCTGATGCACTGAATACATGTACAATGTACTTTCTACTAAATTCCCTATAGAATGGTAAAACTTTTGATAGAATAGTTTTTTCTACATGTATGCAACATGTCTATACATTGTACATGTACATACCCATGCCTTATGCTGATCTATTCATAATTAGCACTGATATTATGCTAACATAGCATGACAATTAGATACAAGACTGGCCTATACAGTGAAACAATGTGTCTACAAATAATGAGAGACACAATATAGTTGTACTGTATATATTATGTACTGTCAGCCTGACTGTCTTTACAGTTGCTTGTTAGTGCCTTTGTATCTCCTTTGTGTAATAGACTATGTATGGCACACTGTGTCTAGCTCAAGACTGTATGTATTGTTGCTTTGTGACTGCTACAAACTGTGGCTCTATGATAGTGTAAGGTGCTTATATATATCTGTCTCTAAGTCTTTGTGACTACTACAAACTGTGACTCAATAGTAGTATAACCTGTCTTCACTCATTTATTGTAAAGAAGTTGGTAACTGTGCTTTTGTTTCAACTGATTGGTCTCTTCTGCAGTTTATATTGACATATTTATCATTTAATGGAGTCAGCTAGCAGTGCTAAGTTAAATCATAATACTTGTATCAATGAAACTGATTCAAAGGAGTCTGTATCATTACCAGTGGTCCCTCGCCCATTGGAAGAGAGAGTGTACTCTGTTCCTTATTGTTCTTGTATCTTCTGTAAATTCAACGAGAGACTATTGAACCGTTTCTCTATTAGACATGGAAATGAGAGAATGATGGGTATCAACTAGTGCAACTCTGTCCATTCATTTTTATGTTAACATACAATTATTGTACTTTATTGAAAATAAAAATATTATTTCAACATGCTACATTGCTTACTAATTGTTGCTGTTTTTATATTTAGCCATTCTATGACTAGTGTCCTTGTTTGTTATTATTATAGTCACCTACATCAAAATATTTCAAGGAGTGTTTATAGGGGTTATATAATTAACACCTTTTTCGTTTTAGTCTGCTGAGATTCTTCATTCAGAAGGTGCAGTGTATCCAGTAACTGTTGAAGTCTTAAGTAAAGGCCATGCCATTCAAGCATTAGAGGTATGATGGTGTTAGTATAATTGATGGTTGTTAGTCTAATTGTATCCATTAGGTTCATTATCACTTCATGTCAGTGTCACTAAAGGCATTACTTTCACTCCCTACTGATAATCATGGCCTCTCTCTCAATCCTCAGTCCACCAGTAGACTATCAAATATAAGAGAAGGAATGCTCTCACTGAGATCAATACCACTGGGCAGACTCCACTTGACTGAGCTATGGAACTGGTCTAAAATGATACTGAAGAGATACTATAGTAGGAATGATAGTAATCCAGTCCCTATTGCCTTAAGTATTGCTACCTCAAGTACTGTTATTCAAGGTATAGAATCAACTCCTACCCCTAGTACAGGAATGGGCTCAAACTTTAATCTCAGTGTTACCTCTACTGGTAACACTCTTATGTATACTGCTAATCGTAGTGAATCTGCTTCCACTTCTACTACTCTTATAAGCTCCAGGGCAACAGGCACCGGTACCACTGAGACCACAACTCCTACCATTGATACTACTACTGATATAGACATTGGTGCTACTCCTATGGAGGTTACTCCCTGTACTTCTGTCATGAATACTGAGTCTCCTATAGATGATAATCCTACTGCTATGGACACTGATACTGCTCTTACAACTCCAATAAGGAAATCACCAGTGGATAATATTGATGTAGAATCTATGCCGCAAATTGAGCCTATTCCAAAGTTTTCTGTTTCTGAGTCTCCTCTTGTTCATGAAGAAGAATCCAGTGATGAGGAAAATGAGCTCTCCAATAGGATGAATAATGTCGATCCCTTCACAGAGTGCTTGTATGGGGTATCACTGTGTGCTGTCAAATTCCCAGCATACTATAAGCCATTGTATAGACTAGCAAGCACACTCTATAAAATGGGTCAACCTAAGGTAAGACCTGCTATCATAACAGTAGATATATGTTGAGTTGCATATGAAGTGAAGTGCATCTACTTTTTATGAGTGGGGTTGTACTCATAATGTCCTAACTCATTTTCTATCATTAGGAAGCTAAGAAGTTTCTCCTTGGTCCACTCCCAAAATGTTTTGCCACTCAAGAGAAACTGCAGCCTATTTTTGCCTTAAAATCAAACATATTCCAGGTTGGTTTTCTTTATACAAATACAGCATTTTATTTTTATTTATTTTTTCAGAACATGTGGCAGCTAAAGATTACAGAAATAAACAGGTAAAAAGACATTCTTCTATTTTCTTCATTCTTTCTCTCTTCACAGGCCTGGTAATTTCTCATCACATGCAAGATCATGTCTTCAATTGCTATTACAAGTGTTATCATCATTAAATGATTTCTCATCTCTATTGTTCATTGCACAGCAACTCAAAAACAAACCAGATCAGACTAAGTACCTTCAATTTGAATCCAATATGCAATTATTATATTTTTCAAATGCAGACAATATCTGAGGGAAGCCGAGAGGCCAATGATGTACACTAAGGTATGTCTATGATAATCAGTGTCATTATCATTTAATTGTTAGGCTCTGCACTTGTGTGTCCAGACTTTGAAATTGCTAACTTCAAGTAAATCACAGCCTTTTTGTACAACAAATTAACTGCTAAGCATTAGTAATTGTTTAGAATTAGGATCAATGCCCCACTGCCACAAATTACTAATTAATGCTAACACACTTAGAGGCTTATTGATACGTGCAGAAGGCAAAAAAGATGAATCAGTCAAGGTACAATGTGAATGCAATACACATTATAACTAACTGGCCTTTATCACACTACATTATAGACAACTGAACAATGTATGATGAAACTGTTCAACAGATTATGGAGTGACATGCAGGTAAAATGCAAGCAGCAATTCAAATTAAAAATATCATGCACAAGCAATGTTTTCTTTCTCCTATTATGCTGCAGGTAAGAGCACTATTTATAAAGGATGGATTCACTCTACCACATGAGCCCACAATGGACCTGTGTATCAAGTACTGCTCACTGTCCAAGGACAAAGACTTTGCTTCCCTTGGCTTTGTACAACATTAATTTTGTCTTTTAAAAATATTTTTTTAATTAAAAAAAATTTGATTGCTCTAAGTGAGTTTGAAGGTGTTCATACTATAATAGATAGAAAAAAAGAAACAAATAATGTAAAATTATTGTAATTATTATAATAATACCATTGATGATGTGAAAATTTGGCAATCATTCCATAGACACTTTTCTTTCTTCCCAGCTGCAGGACAATGACCTGTAACAATAAATCAATAATCTTAAAAAGAATTGCTTCTTTCAGTTTAATGCATTACAAAAACCATGAGCGGATGTACCCTTACAAGCAAGAAGCACACACAGAAATAATAAACTTATTATTAATATCAGGACACATGCTTTAGTTACTTACTCTTTAAATGATCCAAAAGATGACTTTGTATTCCAAACTTTAAATTACAGTCTGACCACTATAGTGAATTGGGAATAATAATAACTCTAACAATTTTTATACATAAAACACCTGTACTTGCCTTGCATTGAAAAGAATTTGACAAGTCCAGCTTGATCATCTTTATGCTTCCATCCTTAGAACCAGTAAAAATCTATCAAAAAAAATGCAATCAATTCATGTGCATACCTTTCAAACAAAACATTATGTATAATACATGCAATTATTATTATGATACTAACCATTCCATTAGCAATGGCCATTGAATAGATCCTATCAGAGTGACCACCATAGACTTGAATCAGTTCCAAAGTCTATAATGATAAAAGTCATCATAAAACAGATAGAAATGTCTTGCATGTATAGTATGCATACAATCACATGTTTATGTTTACATGCATAAAGTGTAATTGTTCATTTCTCTTTACAAAACTAATGGCAGCATGGTGTGATTAGTGATAAAATAGGCGCCTTTTATTCATTCTATCTGTTTAGGTTATTTTTTCCTTCAGTTTTTACAAAATAGCAATAAACTATAAATTCATTAATTCTAGGAAATCCCTCAGTTTTCACAACTACAGGTATTAAACTAAATTCATTGATTCCAGGAATTTAACATACCTCTACAACCACAACTGTGAAAAATTTACTGTATTCCAAGTGAATATCATTATAAGTCATGAATCTCATTCACATGAAACATATAAAATAAAGCATTAGTTTTAGTGGTCTGAAGTTACTGAACATAATTTCAAAAACAATTTAAGGAAATGGAAGGTTTGATTTAGTTATATATGCCAGTCTTAAATTATTTATTTCAATAGGTGAAAATAAAGACTGTACTACTTGTGCCCTCTGCTGTGGAAACATAACTGGCTTTCTGGCTTTTTGTGTGTATTGCTTGACTGCAATACTTGTTTTTGCAAATGTTTTTGGACCTGTAACACCAGCTGGTGCCATAATTTCTCTGATACCAGCTTTTGGCCTAGTGCTATTTATATTTGTTCCCGTGTGCCGTGATGCTATATTGTTGATAGCATATGGATGCTGCACCTGTCTAGGGTGCTTTCCCTTGATTGGAGGTGCTATCATGATAGGGATTGCAGCAACTTACAGTGGAGGAAATGACACTAATGATGCAGAATACAATTTGCCTGGGCTCTATGCCTGTGGCATTCTTTTTCTCTTATCTGGATTAGCCCATATAATAGGATGTGGAGTCGCATGTGGAGCTGCAGCTTGTGACACAAATGGAGTCAGGGAACGTGATAATGACGATATGATATAAAACTGAATAACAATATCTACATTATGCAGTGCTAACTTTATGCTAATATTTTGCAGTATTGCATTAATTTAGTGAGTGAAAAACTTAAAAGCATAAAGTTTTGTTACAAGTTTTCATTTTTTTCATTTTTTCTGTACAGAACACAAATTACTGAAACAGATCTTCATTGTAGATGTGTAGTGTCTACAGCTTTGTGTGGCTGAGACAAAATATGCCCAAATATGGAGATGGGCAGCTAGTTGCCCAGTCCAACCACGACCACAGAAAATTTGTATGATTTGATAAACAAAACCAAAATAGAATTTTTGATAATAATTATAATGTATGGATTTAAAAATATGTAACATTGGGAATACTATGTAACATCTGTTATGTAGTATTGGCATTCCCTACGCTAATACTATGCTACAACTCACCTCTAAATCAAAACATCGAATTAGTTTATCAAAGCTTGAAGTGATCAGCACGTTAGAAGCAATTTTCATACTAGAGATACCGTCATTGTGACACATTATCCTGTGAAGTCTAGTCCAATTCTATCAAAGATACAACCAGTCATATTATAATTACACATTTATACAACACATGCACTAAAATGGAAGACTTAAGGACACCTACACCTAGGTTAAATATGAGAGACTAAAAGCTAAAAAATGGGAGATTGTTTTATTTTTAAGAGACCTAAACCAAATATGGAGGGCTAAAAGTCTCCAGATCTAACAGCATAGACACGGACGTACCTTAGTGTCAAATATTTGCAAAGTAGAGTCAGCAGAGCCACAATATAATAGATTATTATTAACCTACAGCATAATATAATGGAGAAAAATTATTTCAATAAATTATGACATTTCTTACCAGCAGACTGAGTACAACGTTGGTAAAACAAGCAAATTGATACAACATCTTGAAATTTTTGGGTGTTGTTCCCTTTGACAAGAAATCCTGTGATAATGAGAGAATGGATTACATGTAAATATTATTTGCATTTATAATTTACAACTACTGTAACTATATAAGGAAAATAGAAACTATAATGCTCATAACTCGAAAAATATTTGTCGGAATTAGCTCAAACTTTCTACACAGCATAAATATATCAATATGTATCAGAAAATGTAATAAAAATTTGGGGTGATTTTGGAGCCATTTTTTGGAAAAAACCATGGGCTATAGCCTTGGGTATTTTTCAAAAATTGGCCCATTTTTTAAAATGGCCATAACTCGAAAAATATTTGTTGGAATCAGCTCAAACTTTCTACACAGCATAAGTACATCAATATGTATCAGAAAAAGTAATAAAAATTTGGGGTGATTTCGGAGCCATTTTTTGGAAAAAACCATGGGCTATATAGCCTTGGGTATTTTTCAAAAATTGGCCTATTTTTTAAAATGGCCATAACTTGAAAATTTCTTATCGGAATCAGCTCAAACTTTCTACACAGCATAAGGACATCAATCTGCATCAAAAAATGTAATAAAAAATTTGGAGTGATTTCGGAGCCATTTTTCAGAAAAAAAACTACAGGCTATAGTCCATGGTTTTTGCAACTATCATGAAATGTCTCACATAGATATCCCAAGCGATGACTGTGGAGTCGAACCCAGCAGTGAATAAATGAGTATCTGTAACTGCCAAACAACTGATAGCTTTATCCAATGGATGACACTGCTGCTTCCAAACAATGGATTTATCCTGGAGTAAAATGTGATGATGATGTTAATATGGATTATTCTTTAAAGACCATTACCTTGACATTCATGACATTAATGTATCCATTGCTAAGAGCAATAAAAAGGAAAGGATTGTGCAGTACCATGTAAATGAGCTTTGAGCCACACCTAAACTTGGAGACCCTGCCAGTCTATAAAAAGAAAATGAATGAAGATATTTACTATACTAATATTATATGAGCTATTAATAAAGGAATTACATTACATATATATGCAATACCTCAATATCTGTCATGTGAATGAATTTATCATTAGAGCCCGACAAAATATAAGTATCATTATTATCTGAATAAACCTAAACAAGATAAGGAGAGAAAAATAGGACAGTTTTAATGATAACTGGAAAAGAATTTCACAGCCTAGTAATGCTAGTATACATGTACATGCAAGGGAACACATCACTTACTTCTAAGCAAGTCACTGATCTATCATAAGCTGCAAACTTCTTCACAATCCTGCCAGTCTAATGAACACAAGTATCAATGAACTATACAGTCTTTAAATGTAAATGTGTGTTTATACCTCAATATTGTATATATTGACAGATTTATCCATTGAGCAAGTAATCAAGTTATTGTTGTGAACTTTCATAGCAAGAACAGAATTTCCATGATCAGTAAAAACTAGCATTAAAAAGAGAGAGAGAGAGAAATAAAATTACACAGTAGAAATAAGATATCTATGCATATACAAAGCAATTAATTACAGAGCAACAAAAATTGAAAAAGCATAATGATTACTTGAAGTTTCAGCTGGCTGCTTCACAGGTGATACATTACTATGCTGTTGAGGTCCATCGTTACCCTGAGGTTGTTCAGTGCCTTGTACATATTGTGCCTGTTCAGCATCATGTGACTGTTCAGTATTCTGTTCAGTATTATGTGGTTGATCATCAGTAGTATTTTGTCCAGTATTCTGTGGCTCATTTATTGGCTGGTTGGTTTCAACTTGCTGTGCTTGTTCAATATCATGCACTTGTATCAATGAAGCAGATGAAGTAACATCAAAAGACTGAGAATCCTTCCTCTTCTTACTCAAAGGCAGCTGATCCTCATCAAGCTGTTGTTTTTTCTTAACATTAGGTATCTCCTTCTCACTTCCATCTCTTTTGGTATCTTTATGAAGAGTTGCTGATGGTGATCCTTCAATAGAAACAGAAGAAGGAGGAGGAGGAGAAAAGACAGACTCAGCTAAAGGAACCGCTGAGTCAAAAGGAGAAGGCACAGAGCTAGAAGAGGTAGAGTCACAACGAGAGCTAGAAGATAAAAGAGCCTGAGAGAGGTGTGCCATTCTAGATAATAACTGATCCTTTTCAGGATTTCCAAGAGAGCCAGTATCCATTGGCTCTAGATCAGCTTGAAGTTTCTATAATAATTCATAATGTTATAATACAAAAGATAATTCTAACTTCTTTCTTGACCGGATTACTGATATATTTGGAAGAATATTTCCCTAATTAAATATCAAACGAAATAAATAAATGTAGGATTCATTGTCTTACTATATAAAAGAGTTTGCTTCAGTCCCAAAATCTCCTGATATTCTCTTGTGTACTAAAAAACAATAAAGACAGTAACATGCATATTTAATCTAAGTAAATTCATATGCAAATTAGCAAATTTTATATTTAAAAACTGCAGATTTGTATTGACTGTTTCTTCACCAAAATGGCCAATATTTCTATCTTATAATGATACAAGGACAGTACAAAACACAGGGTATGTATTTGTGTCTGTGTGGATTCACCTCTTCACATTCTTTCATTAGTTTTTCTTTCCTAACTAGAAGTCCATCATATCCTGACTGCATGGTTACTCTACTCATCAGTACTTTATCGTAACAAGTGGCTAACTCCTTCAGACTCAATAGCTATAAAGACAAGAATTATAATTATTATACAGTATACATGCATGGCCCTTCATGGCCCAATTTTGGAGCAACTTTTAAAAATTCGTAAAAAATCCAAACTTGATCGGAATCAGCTCAAACTTTCTACGCAACATAAGAACATGTATATGTATTAGAAAAAATTATAAAAATGGAGAATTCTCTCCTAGTCATTTTTGGTGAAATTTGGCTGACGACCCTGTACTATAGTACAGGGACTTCGGCCCAATTTTGGAGCAACTTTAAAAATTTGTAAAAAAATCCAAACTTGATTGGAATCAGCTTAAACTTTCTACGCAATATAAGAACATGTATATGTATCAAAAAATATATATATAAATGGAGAATTCTCTCTTAGCCATTTTTGTCAAAAGACCCTGTACAGCTTATGTAAAATTGTATGCATCATTAGTAAATCATACCATCGGTCCTTGTTCTTTGTGCAACTTATCCAACTTTTCTATAGTTTCAACATTAGAATTACATGAGCTCTTACTCGGCTTATCCTGTAATGAAACTGTCTCTTCTAAAAGCTTCTCTAAAAGCAGAAACATAAAATTAATAATTTTAAGAATAACTGTTAGTCAAAGAAGTCACCAGATATGGTAAATGCATGAATTAAGAAACAGCACAAATAGATTGTATAGTATCTTACTTGACAGAATATTGCACTGCTCTACTGATTGATGATAGTTGGCTTTACTCTTGAAGGAAAGATCATAAAACCAGGAGTTATTTAATGAATACATACTTCTTTTAGTCTTTCTTGCAACTTTGTCCCGTGCTGAATCGATAGATAATCCAAGGCATCTAATTCCTCGATGCATCTGATCACATCAGTTAAACTGTTCTCTGCAGTAGCTAATGACTTTTGCTAAGAGAAAGGAGATATTAAATTACTATTGTCCTATACACTGGACACAGGAACTAGCAATTAGCAGTACACAATGTAGATAATCAATAATCTATAAATTGCTTACCACACTTTCTTCTCTTGCATTTAGCTCTGATATTGATGAGTGCAATCCAATCCTTTCCTTACTTGATGACAATTTCCTACTACCATCAGTACCACTAGTAGATTCAGTGCTAATACTGCCAGTGACAGTATTACCAGTAATAATAGTACTGACATTACCAGTACTGATAGTATTTTGGGTGCCAGAACTAGTAATAGCTATACCAGTAGTAACTGCAACACCATCACCAGTAGCCCCACTATTAGCATTGGGACCAGTGATATTAACATTGGGACCAGTAATATTAACACTAGGACCAGTTGCATTAGTACTATTGGTATTAGAAGGAGGATTAGGAAGTGACGCATCTACTGGAGTTGCAGAATCAAGGTTACTGCTACTTTGGCTGCCTTTTTTCTTTTTTCCACTTTTGACAGAAGATGCTTTTTCAGATTGACCAACAAAGCCTGCTACACCTTGCCTTCCTTTTCCTACGGAATTGGTAGCTAAATCTTTTCCCATCATACTTTCGAATTCTTTCAAATGGTCAATACACAACCTATACACAAAAACATTGATTAGATTAAAGCTAACGTGCAATTCATTATCAAAGTAATAACTAACTTATTTCCCTGAACTATAGGGAGGCTACATTTATGACCATTCTTATCCTTAAAATGACATGAATCCTTAGACGCTAATGCTGGAGGAGGTGATGATATTGCTTTTCCTTCTCTGCATAAAATTAAAAAGTTATAAATAAGTGATAGTTGCATACAGATGACATTCATTATCAAAGGCCAAAAGCCTGAACGAAAAAAATAATGTTTAAACAAGGGGCTATAGCTCAGTCATGAAAGAGTGCTCTTAATCTATACATGATGCTTGTAATGGTACTACTAAATCTGTTAATAATTATACTGAAAGACTAACTTTGATAGCTGAGGCTCTGAAGTTGGTAAATGACTAAGACTAATGTTCTCCAGTTGTCTGGCACCTTCAATAATGTCCTTCATCAGATCACTCAATGACACAGCCATACCAGACTCTGCTATTGGCGGTACACGTACTATTGGTGATGTAGATTTATCTGCTAGCTGAATAAAAAGATTAACAATTCAACATCATAGTATGCTAATTACTGAATGTGTAGCTTTTAAAATAATTTGCTGCCATCAGAGCAAGATATTATTGGTGACTTACTTCATTATGCCCATCAATATCAGAAAATCTCACAGGAGGTTCAACCATAACAACAGTATAGTCAGTACTTGATCCAGTACTATTCTTTGGCTTTGAAACAGTGCTTGTTCCAGTGGTATTAGTTTTTGATGCTGAAACAGTACCCAATCCAGTGCTAGTTTTTAATGTTAAAACAGTACTCGATCCAGTACTAGTCTTTGGCGTTGAAACAGTACTTGATCCAGTACTAGTCTTTGGTGTTGAAACAGTACTTGATGCAGTACTAGTCTTTGGTGTTGAAACAGGATTCAATCCAGTACTAGACTTTGGCGTTGAAACAGTACTTGATCCAGTACTAGTTTTTGGTGTTGAAACAATATTCGATCCAGTACTAATCTTTGGTGTTGAAACAGTACTTGATCCAGTACTAGTTTTTGGTGTTGAAACAGTACTCAATCCAGTACTAGTCTTTGGTGTTGAAACAGTACTCAATCCAGTACTAATCTTTGGTGTTGAAACAGTACTCAATCCAGTACTAGTCTTTGGTGTTGAAACAGGATTCGATCCAGTACTAGTCTTTGGTGTTGAAACAGTACTCAATCCAGTACTAGTCTTTGGTGTTGAAACAGTACTCAATCCAGTACTAGTCTTTGGTGTTGAAACAGGATTCGATCCAGTACTAGTCTGTGGTGTTGAAACAGTACTCAATCCAGTACTAGTCTTTGGTGTTGAACTAGTCTTTGGTATTGAAACAGTACTAAATCCAGTACTAGTCTTTGGTGTTGAAACAGGACTCGATCCAGTACTAGTCTTTGGTGTTGAAACAGTACTTGATCCAGTACTAGTCTTTGGTGTTGAAACAGGACTCGATACAGGTTTATTGATGTCTGATTCAGTTCTAGGTATAGCTGTGCTTCCTCTACTGTGTGGACTATTGCTTGTGGTTAGTCTTGATATTTTCACAACAGGAGACCCAATCAATGGTGGCTCGTTCTTCCTCTTAAGCCCAGCACTAACAGCATTACTCTCCATAGGGCTGGTGATGAAGAGACTTCCCTTTGTTGAAGTGGAGACTGAAGAAGTACATGTATCCATATCAATTGGATCAGGTATAGTTGTATTCGTTTTAGTCTTACTGCTACTAGTGTAAGAAAGGGGAGCACCAATACTGGCAGTAGTACTGGTAGGGCTACTCTTAAGACTATCAGTAATTACAGTTGGGACTGTTGAGCTTATAATAGTATCAGAATAATTGCTAGAGCCAGTGAGTACGCTCCTACCTGTAGGAGGACCACTAGTGCTGCTAGTTATAGACTGAACATTGATAGCACTTGCTGAAGAGGATACCTTCGGCACAGAAGCGGTGGTGGTCTTGCTTGCCTTTTTCGGTGGCTCAAAAGTAGTATCTCCAGGGACTATTATCCTTCTGGCATAATAATGCAGCTTCTGTTTCATTTGATTCGTTTCCTGTTGTTTCGCTTTCTGATCCTCTGTGTGCTTCAATATCTTTAGTCTCAGCTCATCCTGATTGCTTACTGAAGAATCGCGAGCAGGATTAGATAAAGGTGGCCTTGCATTTGGAGGGTAAGACTTGGTTGGGAGAGAATGTGGAATTGGAGAATGTGTTTGAGCAAATGATGACTGTTCAGGGGGATGAGTCAGTACTCTATATACTTTATGAGTAGTTGTTGGAGTATTATTTGATGTGGGAGCATTAGAAGTGGCAGCACTAGGAGGAGGAGGATTCTTAATAGCAGCTGGAGTATGTGACTTGGTTGCTGTGGCTACTGATGCCTTGGTTGCTGTGGCTACTGATGTCTGTGAGTTGATGGATGAAACTACTTTATTGGATGCAGTTAATTCCTGTGATTTAGCAGGAGTTACAGTTTGCGGTTTAGAGGGTGGAGCTGGTGAAGCTACAGATTTAGTGGGTGGAGCTACAGTCTGTGATTTAGTGGGTAGAACTACAGCCTGCATTTTAGTGGGTGGAGCTACAGGTTGCGGTTTAGTGGGTGGAGCTACAGGTTGCATTTTAGTGGGTGGAGCTACAGCCTGTGTTTTAATGGGTGGAATTACAGACTGCATTTTAATGGGTGGAGCTATAGACTGCGTTTTAATGGGTGGAGCTACAGCCTGTGTTTTAATGGGTGGAGCTACAGCCTGTGTTTTAATGGGTGGAGCTACAGCCTGTGTTTTAATGGGTGGAGCTACAGCCTGTGTTTTAATGGGTGGAGCTACAGCCTGCATTTTAGTGGGTGGAGCTACAGCCTGCATTTTAGTGGGTGGAGCTACAGCCTGCATTTTAGTGGGTGGAGCTACAGCCTGCATTTTGGTGGGTGGAGCTACAGACTGCATTTTAATGGGTGGAGCTACAGACTGCGTTTTAATGGGTGGAGCTACAGTCTGCGTTTTAACAGAAACTGATTGAAGTGAAGGTCGTGTTGTACATACCGGATTAGACTGAGGACAAGTAGATTGACGAAAAGAGGAAGTGTGAGGTGGATTATAAGATGAAGGACGAGAAGAAGGTGGGAAAGGTTGAGACGAATGAAATGAAACATGAACATCATTGGAAACTGGAGGATGTGACAATACAGGAGGATCACTGAATGGCGGAGGATGAGAATGTGAAGGGAAGACATGAGATTGAGGAGGTGTAGGTAATACCCCATGATTATGAGGTTGACCTGGCATAGGATGAGATTGTGGATGTGGTAATAGAGGGCCACGAGACAGCACTAATTGTTCTATGAATATACAAACAAAATACTCAAATACTAGTATTGTAATTTAATTTTGAGGGACTAAAAGTGATAAAAATACATTTTTACCTTCTTTAAATTGAGACGAAAGCTTTGAAAGCTTATCCACATGAATTGAGGATTTCACATGTTCTATAAAGGTGTGAAAATTATAAATAGGAGAGGAACATAATTCACAAGCATGCTGCCTGTAATGAAAATAAGAGGAATTCATTATTATACATAATCCACTTATACATACTGACCTCATTCCCCTCTCTTCCATGACTGTGTGGTGCTGAATGGAGAGCGAGTGCTCCACAAACTTCTACAAAAAGTAATAAGAATCAAATATAAAGGAATAATGTCTCATCATACCAGCCTAGAAGTGAAGTAAAGCCTACATATTTTACAATAAAGATCCGATAAAGTAGCCATTTTTTATAGATGTGGGAGTAGGGAGTGGTGAAGGTGACACGTGCGTCCACTCAATCATGGCGAGATCTTTTGGCATAGCAGTACATGAATCAAGATTCTCTGTCATTGCTCCTCCTGATGTCGACACTTCTGATGAAGATGATGAAGTGAGTTTAGCATTGAAGTGGTGCATGATCACCTGATGTTACACAGGGCTGGGTAACTCGGTCTAGAGGAAAGAAAGATAAGAAACCTCTGACCTTAGGAGCAGGATCAAGAACTAATGGAGCTAGCAGCAAACCAGCAATAGTCTCCAAGACAAGTGTTAAAAATGCTAAGAGAAGAGCTAAAAAGAAGAACCAACAGACAACAATGGTAATTTTAGTAATTGAATAAATCCAGTGCCCGTAAAATAAAGTTTGTAATTGTAGAGTTGCCAATAATTGTATGAATTATTTAGGAGAGCTCATCATTTGAAAGCTGGGCAGAAAAAGATGAAGCAATCACTGATAAAGCATTTGAAGAAGACATGAAAGTACGTGTAATTCTTTGAAGTAAAGCACAGACTAATGTAATTCATTAAGTGCATGTGAGACATGATATTCAGCACAATAAATTACTCTCATGTTTAGGAGGCTTTATTACGTAGCCTTATGGATGCCAAAAGAGAAGAAGCAGAAAAAGTATTTTAACTCAATTCTTACTAAACACATGCATTATAAGCAATAATGGTTTATCTGTTAAGTTAAAGGAAGAGGAATTTATAAATTCCAGTGTCACAGGACAGGAACAGCAGTCTGCTTCTAAGAAAGGAGTAAAGATGTCACTCCATGAATTCCTTCAATCAGGTATATTGATATGATAAGCAAAGTGGCAATTAACTTCTGTATGCATGTACCTATAATTTTATTTCAATTGTATATCGGAAATATTGGTGGGATCTGGGGGCTTAAAATTAAAGATTTATTTGAATTTTAGATGCTGCAAGTCCTGGAGCAGCTGCAGGTAGCTTCTTACCTCAAGACAATGTAAGCTAACAGAATAATATAATTAAAGAGCTTGTATAATAATTGATTTTGTTTCTAGAAAACTGTATCTGAGCCTCAACTTGCTCAAGTCAAAACTGACAGTCATTTCTTTAGTAACATTGAGTCTGAAGTAAAGTCAGAACTAATGAAAGAGAAGAAAAGGATTGATCATGTCTCAAATACTGTGAGTTGTTTGTTTTACATACCGATGTGGTAGCCTATAGTTTTTAAATGCTCATAACTCGAAAATTATTTATCGGAAACAGCTCAAACTTTCTACATAGCATAAGTACATCAATATGTATCAGAGAATGTAATAAAAATTGGGGATGATTTTGGAGTCATTTTTTGAAAAAAACCATGGGCTATAGCCTTACGTATTTTCCAAAAACTGGCAAAGCAAAGAAGTCTCTTTATAGGGAAGTAAAAAGCAAGCTGGTGAACCAGTCCGTGTTGCTCAATTATTGAACAAACTAGAGCAGAAAGAGGCAACAATAAGAGAGCAGACACTAGAACTAGAAAAAGTTCAGGTATATAGCACCACTCATTAATCAGGTATAAGGTTATAGCATATTTTGTTAGGATGAAATGAAAGAAGTTAAGTTTCGCAATCAAGTTCTTTGTAAGATTCTAAGCAAAGGAGAATGTAAGTGTGTATATATTTCACTAGCACAACATTATTATTATTATTATTATTATTATTATTATTATTATTATTATTATTATGCTATTTTATTTCTAGTTTCAACAAAGCAGGAGCTCTTGGAACAAATTGAAGAGCTCACAGCAGATAAGACAGAGCTATCACAAGAAGTGAGAGCATACAAAGACATGCAGTCCATGTATTAGCTAATTTCTATTATTTGGTAGATTGAGAGACTTGTGAGTGAACTGGAGCAGGAAAGGTCAAAAAATAAATCACTTCAAATTGTAATAAACAAACTACAACAGAGCAAGCATTGAGAGACAATAAATGATGTCACCAATGTATAACTGAAATTGATTAACAAAACTGCCTATAATAATCATGTGTATGTGTCATTTATATTCTAATGTGTGTACTATAATTATTAATCATTTATATCCTCCTATCTCCTATTATCACTCTATTTTACTATTGTTGAGTTCTCTTTGTTCAATACTTGAGTATCTCAGTTTTGTTCTTGTGTGAAATGTATACGAAACCTTGCAAAACCCTAATGACACCATTACATGATACATTGGGACATGTTTTGATAGCATTGCTAGATTCTTCTGGAGCTATGATGAGTTCATTTTATTAAAACTGTTAGTGACCATCTTGTACCCTTCACAATCCTGTTGCATAAGTACTTGCATTTCCATCAGCACTTTTATCGCCATTATTGTTGACAAAATCTTTTACAGTATCTACTACAATTGCAGACAGTTGTAATAGCTGTAGTTCCATCAGTATCTATGGTTCCATCACTATCTGGATATCGCTATCTGGATATCGCTATGGCACCACCCCCAAACCACGAAGGAGTAGCCGAAGACTGTGAAGTACGAAAGTGAGCCCTTTGATTGAGCAGCAAGACGCGGCATTGTGCGAGAAAAGCCCATCAACTTTAAAGCGGCAAGCAGTGCAGAGTTCAGTAACTACTTCATAGTGTTCGAATTGTAGACTCATGGCCAGCAAAAAAGGTATGGCTACAGTACACTGTACAGTACTTCCGCGTCTTAATAGCAAAAGCTGACACCATAGATATATACATAGTCGTGCACACTGACATTTTTTTGCCCTTGGGCTGAATGGGATACAGGGGTACCTTGTTGTACATTGGTGATGCAATATACGTGTAGCTGAGCAGTGGAGAAGTCAGTGGGAAGTATTTAAGTTCTACCATTTCGCTTTGCTACAAGACTTCCCAATTTCAAAGCCACCATTTTATTGACTGCATGTAAAGGTAACCTCTATGAAGCCATAATAATTATTGAGGTATGGTCAACTGCACCTGACTATATACTGTATAGACTTCTCCAGGGTGTATACCATATAGCCGGAAAGTTCGTGCAAAAACTTTTTGGTTTGGTGGCCTCCGTAATAATAATAATAATAATAATTCAATTTGTGGTTTTTATTTTTATGGATCATTAGTGAAGCACTCACACCTCTCATTAACCTGCAAATATTTCATGGTTTTTAATCTTGTGGTGTCATTCCAAACCACAAAAACTATGAGAGTTTTTGCCACGAAACTTTCTGGTTATACGGGATTGCTCCCTAGGGCATATTATACCACAGTTCCTGAATGGTTATATCTTTGTCCTGTGACAAAGCTGTCACATTGGGGCATGTCTGCTAAAACTTCAGCTACCACATGTAAAGTGCATTTGGTTGTAATATATCTACATGGGTTATGTAATCATTTGGGAACTGGTTGAAAAAGTCAAAATACTGCTAGTCAAAAATTACTATGCTTATGAATTTCTTCCTGGAATACAATAATATATAATTGGTATTTTGCTCTTCAAACACTTAGTCCAGCACAAGTTATCTCAATTTCTGGTTCAAAAGCCAGGGAATGCACAAACAATTTATCACAGGAAATGAGTGTTTATACAAAGAAAGCTAATAATAATATTCATAACATTTTTGATTAAATAGAGTCAATTCCAGGAATTAACTATACAGTTTGTTCACACTTGCCTTTAATTAAAATCATCCAGGTATAACTATAATAGAAGAATGTTTTTAGTGTAGTCAAAGCGATTCAAATACAACTTCCTGTACAACTAATCTCATGTTATAAAATTAAAATTAAAAATTTTGAGTCCCCATCCTTTGATTTTGCAATTTTGATGTGATTGTTATTTGTTAATAATTCAGTAATGAGCAAACAATGGAAAAACTAATTTACATTTACAAAAGAATGAATGAACTGGATTTTGTGATCAATCTTCATGAATTATGTAGGTGAATCCAGAGTTATAAAAGATGGTGAACTTCAAAGATGTAAGTTATAAAATCTTTTATTATGCTGTATCAAGTAATCAAAAAGGTCAAAAATCCCGGATGTTTTTTAAGTCATATGTAAAGGAACATGCAAATCTGGTACTTTATGAAGATAGCTCTGTTGTTCTTGAATTTAAGATTGATAAAGATGGTCGTGTGAAATACAGATATGAAATGGAGGTTATTTTTTATAAGTTTAGCTCAGAATGTTTTATCATCACTTTTATGTACATTGTAGTCTTGTGTAGGTGTGTATCTCAGAGTTGAATTTAATGAGGCAAGAGCTAATTGGCCAGATGACATTCATGATGAATGTTGCTTTACCTTAGTGAATCAGTTGGAAGACAAAAATTTGTATCTTATTGCTGAAACTTCAAAAGTTGCACTGTATGATAACTGATTATATTATGCTTTTATTATTGTACATTCTAGGCAATGGATTTGGAAATTGAGTCAGTATGTGAAAGTAAGTTATATTTTCATGCAATTAGAAATGATTAAAATTTTCAGGTTCCTGAAAGTGTCAAAAAAACAATTACTGAAGAATTCAGTATGAATCAGTTCTTTGGGTTTCATTTCTTTTACATGTATAGGTATCAGGAACTTAATTGATGTGTATAATGTTCTAATTACTAAACCATCACTCCTTTTGTCTAATCCAGCATCTTGGAAGCTTTTAGGTAAAAAGCTAGGACTTGCTGATAAAACACTGAAAAAAATTGAAGAGTTTCGTGATGCTGAAGAAGACCGTCTCTATGATTGTTTATCAAAGTGGATAAAAAGATATGACGAAGTTGATGATAAAGGAGGGGCAACTTGTAGTAATCTTGCAGATTCATTGACAGAAATGGGTTATGAGGAGATTGCAGAAAGAGTTTTTAAAAAATTTAATAACTCTCCACTTAATGGTAAGATATGTATAAAAGATTTTATCTAATTTATTATAAAATCAGTTATATGCTTTACTCACAGTTAATTAATTTCATGATATATACATGTATAGGTGCAAAAAAGAAAAAAGAATCGTTGATGAAGAAAGGTAATAGATATCATGAGTTTTGAATTCTTATCACTTAATACATATAGATGCTGAAGAAGAACCAGTCAAAGGTAACAGGATAAATAGAACTGTTTTGCAAACTAAGCAGCTTCTTTAGAACCACAGAGTCAGTCATCTGGTGATAAACAATTTACACTAGAACTTGATAACGCTATCAGTCAGTTGACATCTATATTTAATTTTTAATTTTTACGAACTTATTATAGAGCTAAGAAATCGAAGATCAGTTGCTAGCTTTAAAGGTATTTAAATAAAGTTAAGTTATTATGATATGGTATGAATTTAGATCAAGAAAAAGCAATAAAGAAAGGTCAAAATGAAGATCAGGTTAGTAAAAAAATTGCATGCAGGTATATCTACTTTTGGTCATTTTACTTATTTATTGATCAAGCCTGGATATATGAAAAATATTTTCATTGCTGTCCAAATTCTTCCTTTATTTTTTCATTACTTAATTTATTTACATACATGTACTTATCTCACAATTTACTAAGTCATCCATTCTTCATAAACTTAGAAAAGAAAAAGGGCTTTGACTCTTGCTGACCAGAGTGATAAAAAACATGACAAAGACAAAGCCCTTGCTATTATCAGTCAAAAAGATACTATACTGGGCATGGTGTGGGGAGCTATCACTTATAAGATGCGTGATACAAAAAATAATGTCATTTCTGAAATTGCACGTTTTTCCGATACAACAATCTCTAGTCTTGTCACCATTAATAATGAAACACCACACGCAATGACATATCATCAGTGCTTTGTTGCTAGAGGACGGATATCAGACCGTGATGCGATTAATCAAAGTACCATTCCTGGTAACAGCCAGAAAAGCTATTCATTTGAAAAATATTCATCTTTGTCATTAGATGGCTGTGCTGCTATCATTGTGCTTTCTGTCACCACTTGTGAATCTACTAAATGTTATTTTGCAGTTGCTTTCAGGAACTACATAAGATTTACAAAAAGTTTCTCAAAAAATAAAGCTGCTCTGCTTATTCTTAATGATGCCACATCAATTGCCACATTGTTAAATTCACAATTCTTTGGTGAAATAATGAGGAATAAAGATGATAGTCCCAACTTTGCAGGATGCTATAAAGGTGACATCTATAGTCCTTCATTTATGTTAGCATCGTTGGATAGTTCACAAAATCACAACTTTCGAAATTTATGCTTTCGCTTTGCAATGATTGATGACCCTCATAGAAGTCGAGTGAATTTGACGGTGCAACATCCAGAACTTCTTGGCTAGAAAACGTTATGTGTGATTTCTACGTACCTAATGTTGTCTTCAATGTCGATCCATTTATAATAGTAGTTCCTTAGTTAACTTAATGATAGCTGCCTAATAACAAATCGTGTGCATGTGTTTTTAAATAGTATTAATTTGTGATTTTTTTAAATTATTATTTTGAAAAATTAATGATTAAATCTAAAAGTAAACCTATTAATTTATTTTAAAATATTTTTCAAATTTACAGCCAAGCCAAGCCTATTGGTGGTATATACTTGAGAGATATTACAAGTCTCACTAAAAGTTTAGGTTGTTAGCTAGAAGTTCTTTACCTGCTTACATGGGTTCCAGTGACAAAACTACATCCACCCAGATACAGTCTGGAAATTTTAAAAGTTGCTCCAAAATTGGGCCAAAGTCCCTGTACTGTAGTGCAGGGTCATCGGCCAAATTTCGCCAAAAATGACTAGGAGAGAATTCTTTATTTTATATAATTTTTTCTGATGCATATACATGTACTTGTATCATGTGTGTGTGAGTGGTCAGCTATATTCTAATCTGGTATGTAGATACTACCGTATAGCGGGAAATTTTGGAGGGAATTAAATTTGGCGAATTTGGCGTTTTGATAGCCATTCGCCAAAATAAAATCCACCATTTTGAGCCTTTATATGCATGTTCAATGGCACGTGGCCACTATTTCGCCAAATTAAAATCCGCCAATAACCAAAATTTAGCAATTCACCAAATTTTACTTCCTCCAAAATTTCCCGCTATACGGTATATTATTAATCATTTATATCCTCTTATTATTATCACTATTGTTAACAATAACAAGAAAAAAGCTCAATTAATAGGATAGCATAGAACATGCAGCAAATCGTTTGATCGAGTAGGCAGAGACCTACAGATCTACAGCCTACACATTAACTAAATGTTTACAAAAATATAATAATAGCACTAACTAGTGAGTAACTTGCACAACAGTAACTTTTCCGGGGGCTATTCTGTTTTCTTCCTTACTATTGACAACAAGACTCTCATAGGAGAGGTTACTCTGAAACAGCAGCGGCTCCCTTTCCATTTCCTCTGGATCATCCTCAGGATCAACTGGAGTGCTCTTTGCATGGTCCCTTGTTTGCCTGCTCTTTCTCTTTGATTTATTAAAGTTGCAGTCCACATTTTTCCAAAATGTAAACTTAGCAAACTGAACGAAGCACATGCCAACAAAATATATTACAGGAAACAATACTAGCAGATAAACAAAGGCAGTCTTTAACTCCAGTCCCCTTCCAACACCAAACACCACATTAGCTGTACTACCATGTAGTATACTTAATAGAACAAGATCTAATATCAGGAGACCATCGAATATATTCAGCCGTAGGCTAGTATAAGGCTGAACTATACAGTGGACAGTCAGTAAGAGGATGGAGAGAATCTGTAATATATAGATATAAGTTGTCGTGCTGATGGGGAACAAACTTATCAGAAAAATCAGCTGGCGAGAGGTAAGGTAAAATCCGGCAAAGCTTCGATATTGTTCCTTGTAGCAGGCTTGATACTCATCCAGTATTGGCTTTATCCGAGTTAGATTGAGTGCCCCTATTCTTATAAGGCATGGAGCAAATATAAGTAGAAAGAGGAATGGTATCACAAGGATTATCTGTATCAGTATTGCGAAAACAGCATAAGAAAGGTGAGCTTCGGGGTTAAAGTATGTCACATTTGGCTCTAGTGCAACATAAGGCTTGTGGATGTTGCTTGTGTAATAGACAGGAGCAAGGAGAGAGAGTGAAGTTTGGGTGAGAGAAATGAAGACCAGATAAAGGACAATGCATATCATGTTGACTGCACTGTTATTTTGAGTAAATAAAGCATACTTGGGGCATCTACTGGATACACATATCAACAGGCCAATGACTAATGTTAGAAAGAGTGGATTGATACAGCAAAGAGATACATAGTGGATATTAGTTATGTCACGGTACTTGAGGCATACTTCAAAAAGGCCAAACATTTTCGGATCCAATTGCATGAAACCGGTAAACACAAGTTCCAAGACATAAAGAAATATGGAAGGGAATGATCCACGAACAAAATATTGAAGAACACTGAAGAAGAAAACTAGACAATAGAGCTGTCCTGATCCAATACGAAGGTTTAATTTTGTGACAGCAACAATGACAAAAGTTAGTAAAACCCAGAAGAGAATAAAAATGAGAATGTACAATACAAGAGAGCCTGAGGTACAGTCATCATTATCAACACAGCGTATCCCATCAAATGAAAGAGAGTAATTTGCCTGACAACTCGAGCATAATGTTCCTCCACGATTATACAAACAGAGAGTATCACTGGTATCTGGATCTAATTCACAAAAAAATTTATGTCTACTGCAAGGTCGAGTTGGACAATTGTTACTACTAACATAGTCACAGTAGCCAAAAGGGCATGGAAAAGCAGCAGTACAGGAAGTTTGATTTTTGTCAGAACAAGCTTTACTATCTATTGCACCATACCAGTATCCAGTCTTTATACATGCAGTTCCATCTGCCATATTACACTTAACAACATCACTGTCATCATCTCCAGTACTGTAGCAACTGCAAATATTTTTAACTGAGTCATAAACATAGCCAAGATTACAGTTCTTGGATACATCGATTTCCATGCAAGCGATGAGGCTATTCTTATCGGTGGCATTGTACCACATTATCACTGGTTTTAAACTACTGTCCCACCTACCAGACAAGCTAAATGGTGGCCTATATCCATTAAGATGGTAAATTCCATTACATGGTTTCAAAGTGTCACCGTCTAACAAACAGGCCAGTTCAGCATAAACTGTTGGCTCATGAAGAAATTGAAAAGAATCATTGAGTGATATATCTTGGCCTAGCATCACTTTGTTTGTAGTTGGACCTTGATACTCCCAATGTAAGACTGAATTACAGTCCTGCTGCACACTGGGTGATGTGTATTTTCTGGAAAATATTTCACTAACCATACCATTACTGGAGAGATGACAAAGGACCGGGCTACTAAAATTTATCATGTTACAATTTATCCATTCTATGGTGAAAAACTCTACATTTGTACAGTTAATGAATATAAATCCTGACCCTTGATTAACACAGGTCACATTTATACTAGCACCGTGTCCTTGTAGAATTAAGCCATCAATTGCACGAAGGGTAATGCTGGAGTTTATAACCTGGTTGCTGTCCACACTGATCCTAGTACAATTCATTAATGTGAGGTTGGAGAGAACATATTGAAGACTATTACACTTGCTTCCATTTTTATTAGTACAACTGGAGGAAGAAGCACTGCTGTCGACACTTATTTCAATGTAGGAGTCATTGCAAGGATCCTGTTGAGCTGCTATTCCAAGCACAACACAAGAGAACAGCAAAAACCAAACCAACCCATCCATTTTAACAGTTCAACATGTCACGTGATTGTTAATGTTAGTGGTTGTGTACCGATTGACTTAGTGAGTACACCTGAATAAACTATATCACCCACATACATTCAGTAATCTACTCCACATAAACTTAAACATTTTATGTTATTTTGACATTCATCAAAAAGTAAATTTTATTCTTTTCTACCAGTCCGAGAGCGCTTGCCTGATCTTTAATCTGTTCCCCTTTTGTCCACGCCTCCCACTTGATGTTGGAAGCTTTCTTTGCGATTTCTTAGAACTTTGCTTCAAATGGGCATGGTGCTTCTTAAGAGTCGTTTTCTTTACTTGTTTCTTTAAATCTTTGCTTGCAATTGAGGTCTCTTCTCCTTCACTAGAACTCTCATATTCTTCTGAATCACTAATATACTCCAAAGTATCTTCTTTATTGTTTACATAATCTTTGTCTTCACTTTCCAATGGAATTTCATCAAGAGGTATGCTGGAAATGCTGTCAAATTCAGACACATTCTCTCTTAATTTATCTTCATCAGTGATATGGATTCCTTTTACATGGGAAGCAAGACTACATTCAAATTCTTTAGATTCCTCCTCCTCCCCCTCATTTTCTTCCTCCACACCTGCTGACTGAATGATAGGAAGAGATGATCACATGTTAGTACTTTGTAATAATTAAAAGAATAATGATAATATTTATTGTATGTGTGCATACACAAAGAGGGAACGGGTTAAATCATTTCTTGTGATGATGAATAAGTGAACCATGAGCTGATTCTGATCATTTTAAAATTACTCCAAAATCAAGCCAAAGTCCCTGTACTATAGTACAGGGTCATCGGCCAAATTTCACCAAAATTGACTAGCAGAGAATTCTCCATTTTTATTACATTTTCTGATGCATATACATGTTCTTATGTTGTGTAGAAAGTTTGAGCTAATTCCGATCAAGTTTGGATTTTTTACGAATTTTTGAAGTTGCTCCGAAATCAGGCCGAAGTACCTGTACTATAATACAGGGTCATTGGCCAAATTTCACCAAAAATGAAAAGTAGAGAATTCTCAACTTTTATTACATTTTCTGATACATATACATGTACTTATGTTGCGTAGAAAGTTTGAGCTGATTCCGATCAAGTTTGGATTTTTTACGAATTTTTTAAGTTGCTCCAAAATCGGGCAAAAGTCCCTGTACTATAGTACAGGGTCATTGGCCAAATTTCACCAAAAATGACTAGGAGAGAATTCTCAACTTTTATTATATTTTTTGGATACATATACATGTTCTTATGTTGCGTAGAAAGTTTGAGCTGATTCCGATCAAGTTTGGATTTTTTACAAATTTTTTAAGTTGCTCTAAAATCGGGCAGAAGTCCCTGTACTATAGTACAGGGTCATCGGCCAAATTTCACCAAAAATGACTGGGCAATTTTTATAATTTTTCTGATGCATATACAAATTCTAATTGTGTCTTAAATCATACTTTCTCTTTAATTGCTCCACTGGCATTCACTTCAACATCTAAACTGGCTACTTTCCTGCAATAATAACACCAGAAAATATCTCAGTTCATGAGCAAAGGCACATGTTATTAACACTGCATGTTAATGAATCTATTGGCAAACATTGGTAATTGGTGCTTACATAATGTCATTAAGCGATGGCAGTGCTTCGTCAGGCCTCCATTGAAACCTTTTACTAAAGAACTCTGCCACACAATGGACATCACGCTCAAAATAACTATAATAATAATATTTTATATTATTATGGAAATATATTATACACATATACAGTTAGAACTTGTTTTAAAAGTGACTATAACTTAATGTTATCAATATTAAGAATTGATTTTTAAGTTAAAAAATATTTTTGCATGTACTAAGAAGGTCGAAAATAACTGTTTAAAGTACCTGCTGCTTAAAACCATGCATGTATACAGTACATGTAAGTACATGTACATTATCCAAATATACTGGAGTATGATTACTTAATAGTGTACCTTGCTGCATCAGGATGACTAGTGGAGACCATTTGGGGGAAATCAATCAAAGTGGGTTTGTCTTCATCGCTGATGATGATATTGAATTCATTAAAGTCACAGTGAAGGAGACCATGAGATGCTAGTCTAACCAGCAGAGCCATTAATGTATTGAAAAGTACCTCTGGTTTGGATAAACTACGAACTTGACACCTTGGAAGAAATATAATTATAATAATTATAATAATAGTAATAATAATGTAAAGGTCATTTCACAAAAATAACAAATAATGATGACCTAATACTTTAAATATTGTTACTGCCTTCTGGTAATTGTTAACATAATAAATTTTAAGTATAATGGTGGGAGTAATAGTGTCAGAATGAATTCAACCATTCTTCTTGTATTGTTTGTACTAGCTCCTCAATCCTTCACAAAGTGAATACTTCAATATATTTACAATTAATCTCACTATCATGGTAAAGTGGTCAGGATAATTGGGAATTAATGTGATATTACCATGTATGGGGACATTCCTATTACAAGAGTAGGCACTATGAGGTTTCAAGATTTAGACTAATAACAATAGGACTAAGTATTGGAGACCAAAAGCTAAAAATGGTAGATTTAAAGAGACCTAGACTAAATATGAGATATCAAAGCCTTCCTAAACTCCTCCTAGATCTAACATATAGTTATTGATGAATACACAGTCTAATTTAATCATTTTTAGCCAGTATACTCTCTCACCCACTCTCATTAGAAGATTGAGTAGTGACAAACAGGATATGAACTAGCCATATAAAAGAGACACTGTACACCTCACTGTGTACACCATGCTAGCATTATTTGGTATAAACACATTAATAACTGGTTAGTGACAATTGAGTATAGAGTAACTTCAATAGAATCAGTCCATGAATTCCTAATGTGTCATGATCATACCAATTATGGACATGCAACAAACAACAACGTAATTCAATAAACAAGGTCTTGAATCCTGAGTATAGCAGAAACTAAGGTTTCTTATGACATTGATTATGTCAATGCTCAAGTTAAAAATAGGTTTTTAAAGATATTACTCCTACCTATACGCACCCCCACTTAGCAATCGCTGTGATTTCATTGATTTACAAATCAATCAGTTTTAGAATGTGTGAAAAGCTTTCCTGTGGTTTGGAATAGCCAAAACTGATACATTCCACACCACGAGCCATACAATGTGTAGCCACCATAATACACTGCCAATAACAAGAGTGACTACAATACAGATCATAGACAATATTGCAATAGTCATATGCTACAACTGGTAACATAGGAGGACAAAGTTTGGTAACACGTGATTTCTACGAAATTAAGATTTAAATAAATATATGTATCTCTGTGCACGTTTTGACGGCTTGACGTGTGACACCATTTTACAAGGAGGTTACTTTGATGGCTTTTATTTTTAGGAGGCACACAAAATGACTAACAAAGGAATACAAAGGAGTTATATCAAATTTCAAGCAATGTTGCATGACATAAAATATGTGATTGTTGCTTACAGAGGATAGCCATTAATAAGCTCCATTACCACACAGTGCCGGTTCACATCCATTGGCTGTGGTACTGGAAAGCCCCTTTCATGCAGCACCTGAAATGAAAGAATGAAAAGAGCTGAAATTGAAACAGTAAAAGTATTCTTCATGAGACAAGTACACTAATAACAATCACATAAAGGGAAATACAATTATATAATCAGCTATGATGTTGCATTAGGATCACTTTCATGAAAGTGTATTCTTTTTGTGCCGCCAGACGAGAGAGATATAGCCAGGAAGTTGTCTGTCTGTGACGATGGTAGTCCCTCTTCTCTTTTACTTTGCGAAATGAGGTCCTACCTAAACTATAAAGAAAGGGTATAGTTACTTTAGAAAAAGAGAAAGGTAATAGAAGGGAGAGAGAGTAAGAGATACCGATGAATTTTTAGAGCATATTCAGTACCATTTGCATCAGCAACTATATATATATCTACAATAGAGAGAGAGAAGAGAGAAGAGAGAGAGAGGGGGGGAAGAGAAGGTGTAAAAGGAAAGTGAGTGTGGGAGGCAATAGTAGTAGGGAAGGAAGATGGGGGAGAGACATAAAAGAGAAGGAGAGAGTGAGAGAGAGAGGGAGGAAGATAGAGACAAGATAAAAGATATAACAACGAACCAGACTCTTTTCCGACTCCAATCTGATTGCCAACAGAATAAATGACGTCTTTGGATACAAGAGCCCGCAAGGCAAGATAGTCATATCCAGCATTTGTTAGTCTATACCCACAGACTGAGAGAAAGACACACCACACAAACACACACAAACACACCTTAATAACACACAGCAATAGTAACACTATAGGCATGTGAATGATCGTGCATGATGACATACGATATATGTGTAAGTAGATATTAAGTGTTTAATATTAAAGTATCGCATTTTGATAATGTCAACATGACATCGACATGATAATTGTTGCAATTAAAAATGAAAAAACATTATTTGTGATCGATAGTTGCCACGCTTTGTGAGTAAGGGCTCAAAAATGGAGTTGATATTTTTGAGGACTTTGATCTCAAATTTCAATCTCAAAATAAAACGCCACTGAATGTAAACAGCACGTAATGAATGAATACAATGCTAAAAGTTAATAATAATAATAATTAATAGCCCATATATATATAATAAGGAATGTGCTAAGTGAGATAACAATATAGGTACCAATTAATAATAATTATAATTATAATCAATTTATATCATACGTTAACGAGTGTACGACCTAATCCCAGTACACAATACCTTTTTGATGTTCGTATGTGACTAGTCGATGCTTTGCCAGCTCTCGGAGTATCTTGTAACAGCCAGAGCTTCTGATTCCAGCAATAGAGGAGATGAGTTCAGCCGGGACTATCTCGTGATTTTTCATGCCCATTTCAACCTAAGGGAGAGTCAGATCATACTCTAAGTTTATTGAGAGTCTCTTACTCCAGTTAGTACTCTAAAGTCTTGACTGGTTAGATAACGAAGGAGAGAAACATCAAGTCTTCCCATGTTATGTTTCTTTGTTCACCAAGAGCTACTACACGTGGGACAGCCACGCCTATTGTAATTATTAGTAATCCAAATTCTTCTGCAAATCATTATGTTTTTGAAACATTTTTAAAAGTGCTATTCTCTTGCAAGGTAATGTTAGCAACTGCAGAAACAAAAATTCCTTTTTTCAAATGCAAAATAAGCTTTAGTTTTTCTTGTTCTTTTTTTGTCAAGGAGTAGAGTGAGCCACGCCTCCTGCAAACATTCCCTAACAATTAGAATTATTATAATGTCATCATAGTGGACTGCCCTCATATTGCTCTGCTGCTGCTGACTGGTGGTGAAAAGAAAGCTGAGAGAAAGCAACATATCAAATTTCAACAACCATATCTAGTATTAAAGGACCTCAAAATGCCGCTAAAACCCGAGTACAAGGTAACCCTACTAGGTGCTGGAGGAGTTGGTAAGAGCGCACTGACTCTTCGAATAATATCTGGCCAGTTCACACCTAGCTACAACCCAACCATTGAGGATTATTATCGCCACGACACTAACGTTGAAGGAGTTGGACAGTGCATTGTGGAGATACTAGACACTGCAGGAACAGAGCAGTTTGCTTCTATGCGTCAGCTCTACATCAACAGTGGAGACGCTTTTGCATTAGTGTATGCAATTGATAACCTGGACTCTTTCTTAGAAGTCAAGGAGATATACCAGCAGCTTGTGGAGATGAAGAAACCCGAGGAGCTACTTGTTATTTTAGTAGGGAATAAGTGTGACCTCAAGTCAAAGAGAACCGTGTCAACACAAGAAGGCATCCAGGCAGCTACCCAGATGAAGAAATGTCCATTCCTGGAAACCTCAGCAAAAGATGGCACGAATGTCGAGGAATTCTTTAACACTTTAGTGGCAGCCGTTGACAAGAAAGCAAGAGGGGATGAGAAGGATGGAAGACGGTCGTTTCGGCTAGGATCTAGAGCAACTGGAAAAAGAGGGAGAAGCCGATCACAGCCAGACTTACGAAAACACAATTCTGTCGACTTTCAAATGAGACCTGGTGAATCAGCAGCACGTAAATGTGTCATACTCTAAGTAATACTAAATAGATTTAATATATTATTTATATATTATGATTATTATTATTATATACATGAGACTATAAAGTAATACATTTTTGTTCCATTTATTTTTAATACAATCTGTGTGGACACAAGCCCTCATGCTTGTTACTATTATTATTATTTTACAAAAATATATCTCAATTAAAATGGAATGGTGATGAAGCTCAATGCATATAGTCATCCAGCCTGTGTGAGCCCTTTAATCTTTCCCTTTTACTACTCCAGTTCACATAGTTTACATGGTTTGGTGACAACTAATTCTATAGCCCAGAAATTATGTTAGCTCACTCTATCAATCTTTGCTTATAGCATGTGTCATGTGTGGACAGACTCACATGCACTATCTACACCAGTCATTATGCTTTTAAACTTTGTCTATCTATAGCTTTTTACGGACCCTCTTCTCATATCATGTTTCTCTGCAAATGTTGCTTTAGTAAAATGAGCCATTAATAATTTATAATTTTGTGTGTACACACACAAAGCCAGAGAAAGGATCCTCTGTTTACTATGACATTGAAACTCTCAAATCTCTCTCAAACGACATTAAGTACAACCAATTACCAGAAGTCAATTGAGTGGAGAAGTCATTTGGGAGTGCTTTAAAGTGTGTATGCATGCACGACTCTCTGACTGCACAAAGGGAGCAACCATTGAGCATACTCCCTATTGACCTCCCACACTATGCACTCACTTTTACAATAGAGTGCATAGCTGGATGTTTGTGTGTGTGAATGCGAAGTATTTGTATTATTTTGAATGCATGCATGGCAGTGCAGGCTACTGGAGATATACTGGATGATGTGTGCAGTGAGTGTATGTGTAATCAATCAATGATGCACCTCAAGCTATGAAGTTGATGCCAAATCCCACGTGTGGGTGAGCATGACACTAATATAGATCAAAGTGTTAAAATCAGTGCTATTTTAGCCTCTACTATGAACAGCTTATATTGCATCCACAGTGCAAACTGCATACAAAGCAAGCTGCTATAAAATTATTTCTATTGGCTAGTATAAACATCACTGAAGTTTCTTGTCAGCCATAATCAATGGCATTTAATAGTGGAATTGACAAATAGTTAGCACAAGAAAGAGTAAATGGTGTTCTTTAGTTAGTACTGATGATTAATGTCAGCACGTGGGCGTGAGAGATGACCACGCCTATTATCTTCAGCCCCACCCACCGGGAGCATGGCGTTGATAATTGGATTGCTTTTGCTCCTGCAAATGCTAGTGGTACAGGGTGGACCAGTTGATAATGAAGAGAAACCAACTGGGAAGATCTCCACCGGGAAGATTGTACTATTGGTAATCTTCCTAGTTATTTTGCACTTTGCAGCTTTAGTAAGCTAAACGACCATTTTAGAATACAAGTTACTCTCCTGCTGTAGATCTATTGGCTGATGAGACTTTACAGAAACTCCAGTAGAGACATCAAGATATCACTTGCAAAAATGCGGCATCAATGAAAATAAAAGATTTTATGTGAAATATTATTGTTTTAAAGACTTTTTAGAAAAGGAAAATTTTACAGGTTTTTAGAAATGAAATTTAGTTTTGTTTTAATTATTGGGATGGTTTTCCGGTATTACGGTATATAAGTAATAAGCAGCTCCCGCAGACCATCAACTACAGCACAATCACCACTGAGCAAAAGAGGAGGACTGATTCAGGCATTGGCTAGTCCTTCGGTTCTCTTTCCTCTCCTGGGACCGTTTCACCAATCTACACCAGTCTGCTCTGCTCTATCGATCTATTCTGGGACATACCATTCTCATGACATAAGGTAGGCGAGGCATCTAGCTAGTCCGGAGTCGAGAGGGAGAGAGTGTATGTGTGTTGTCACAATATTAGACCTTGTCTCTGCTATTCTAAGTGTAGTGCTGTTGTTGTGTTAACATGAGTCGGACAGCGCGTGTCTAAGCGCTTGAAGGCAGTTTCCACTCAACAGAAGAAACCCCCCACCTATGCATGCTGGGAGAGAATCCTTCCTATTCATTCATTAGCTTTTCACACAAGGCCTCCAATCACATTTGCAACAATCAGTACTGTCATTGTCCTCCGTTCATTCAAGCACATGTAGACTAGACTGATTCATTTAGCTCCCTGTGTAGCTCATGAATGAGGCAGATCATGAGCTGTTTTGTTTATTATTGCTCAGTTTTCTGTACACTCTCACTTTGTGTAATACAATCCAATCGTTATACATATCGACCATCACTGACCCATCACACTGTTATACTATAGCCTTCCCTCCCTCTCCTTTCTATTCTCTTTTAAGTATCACCACAAGGTAATTGATTCTAATTAATGATATTAGTTTGAAGTACACTCTTCTAGCCTTTAGTTGTAATATCAACAAGAGTGTGCATGCTTCCAGTGGAGTATAAGGCATGAAGAATTGTCTCTTCAACGCTTGTACTAATTAGTTAATAGCTGCTAATACAATCATCATGACATTCTTTCCTTAGTTCCTATGCCATTATTATTAGTATTATTACTATTGTTTCTGTTGCTAGAGCCGTCCAAGAAATATTGTTTGAAGCAGAGAGCAATGTCAAAACAACCACCCCAGATCATCACTTCACTTCCGCCGCAGCCCCACTTCTTCATAGCACCCTCTCCTGTCACAGCTCCAGGCTATGCCCTCCAGTTACCTCCACACGTTTCCACTCCTCACTCTTCCTCCCTTACAAGCATTAGCCCCTGGCCGGCCTCTCTTGCTCCTCTAAGACCCCAAGCTCCATTTAACTGCCCAGCTGAAGTCTACTTTGCAGCTCAGCCGTGCATTTTGCCTGCCATCAGTACCAAATCCGATAAGACCCTAACTCCCACCACAACTCTATTAAGAGAGGATTCACATTCGCCTTCTGTGTCTAATAGCATTAAAGCTGAAGAGCCACTGACCAATTGTAAGATAACCACCGGGGGAGAGGAGAAGAGAGTTTCCTATCCAATTAATGCTCTTATTGATGTCCCTGGCTCCTTAAACAGAGGCTCAAGAACGTCGAGTTTGAACAGTTCTTTGTCTTCAATTCGTTTTGGTGGTAGCCTGAGTCAACTGTGGGCAACCTCACTCTCATCTTTATCAACAAAAGTGAATGGAATGAAGAGTACTGGGTAAGTGAAACAGAGAGAGAGAGAGAAGACAATGGAATCTTACAATGTATAAGGTAGTTGTTTTCAAACACAATCTCTCACTTAGCTTGTTTGATGATCATAATTATTGCCTAGTCTGAGAGAATGTGTGTGTGTGTGTGTTTGTGTGTGTCCTCTATTTCCTAACCCTTGGGCTAATTGAGTGAGTGTAGAATGTATCAGCGGGCAAGCCCAATCATCAAAACAGCCAGATAGTTGTACTAATGCAAGCAGATTTCCTTTGATCCTAGTGTCTCTAGACAAGCCTGTATAGACTGCTCTGCCTTGGATTCCATACAAGTGTATACTGGCCACTATTATAGTCTGTGTGTGTGTGTGTGTGTGTAGATATCGGTACTATTATACTGATATACTTTTTGTCTGTTGTGGCCACTCTCTCTCTAGTGGGAATGATTTTGTGTTTTGTTGTACAGGAAGAAAGGAAGAGAGCAAGAGTGGTCCAACAGTCCGCCTTTGAAGGATACATTTCACATAGCCATATTAGCATACTGGAGTCTAGCACCATCTCTTTTATATGATAATAACGCATTACTGCTCTACACTTGTTATTATGTACTAGCTCATTTTCATGTGTCTTGCATAGATAGTTATATTCATGCATTACCATAAGTAGCTTAAAACAATATTAACATGACAATGAATAATCCGTTACCAACACAAACACACACATGCACCTATCGTATTCATATCATTCATGTCTCATAACACATTGTGTGTGGTCCCATTATTATTATTTTCTCTCTCTCTTCCTTCCTCTCTCTCTCTCCTCTAGTAATCTTCATGCTGAAGCCTCAATGCCGTCACTAGGTAACCAGTATGTTGCTTTGGGTGGAAGTCTTCCCGAACTGTCTCTCACTTCTCTCACTCGCCTCTTACCCAACTCCTCAGCAACCACAGGCTCTACTAGTTCAGACGGGGGTACAAGTAGCGGAGGAGGAGGAGGTCTTTATACTCTAATCCAATCGCCTCTTTGTGTATATCCCAGTCAGTCTCACTTAGCCACTCCTTTTATCAATGCTAACGGGTCAATCACGTTCGGGTCTTTTCTCTCGAGTGGCTCCAGCTTGTGTTCTGCCCAGCAGACAAGTGAGTCTCCTCCTCCTACTTCAAAACAGTCTAACGAGGCTCGGAACAATTCTGGATCGCCCGAGATTGACGTCTCTCCAGGTTGCTATAGCAGCACGACCACATCAGCTAGCAACGGAGCGATTGCACCAGGTAGCCTCAGCACTTTAGCTTACGTAGCTTCAGCTCAAAAGACACTAGACACTAACTGTAGCGAAGGGTTTCCGCTAATGACTGTTTCTAATCATCTACCGGGACAGAGCCCTTTGTCTTCGTCTACTCACGGGCTAAGCCCCATACAACCACCAACCTCTTGTCTGAGCCCAGAGGATCACAGCCTTGAGATTGACTGTCGTGTTCCCTCATCCCCTGCTACTGGGTACAGCGTAGTCACTTCTGTTGGAATAGGAGCCCACTTGCCGACAGTCAAAGAGGAAAAGGACCAACAGGACTACCATCACTCTTACATCGAAGTAAAGCCACACCTAGTCGAGGGAAAGAAGGACTCCTTCAAGGACAAGCCATACAAGTGTGACTATCCTGGGTGTGGTCGCTCCTTCTCTTTCCCTGCTCACTTACGCTCTCACGTCCAGCAAATACATATTTCGTATCGACCGTGTAAATGTGACTTCCCCGGTTGTGGCAAGCGGTTTTACACTCCGCAGCATCTCAACGTTCACCGTCGCATACACACAGGAGAACGCCCTTTCGTCTGTCCATACTCTGACTGCAGCAAGGCTTTCACGACTGCTGGTAACTTGAAGAACCACATCAGGACTCACACAGGCGAGAGACCGTATGCCTGCAAGTTTGACGGGTGCTCCAAACGCTTTGCCGAGATGTCCAGTCTTAAGAAACACGAGTTGACCCACACCGGAGAGAAACCGTATAAATGTCGGGTCTGTGGTAAGGCCTTCTCTCAGGCTGGGTCCCGGAATACCCACGAGAGGAAGCATAGCAGGACTGGGGAGGAGGGAGAGGGGAAACTAACGAGACGCTATCGGATAAAACGTGTGTCTCAAGATGATGATATGTAGCTGTCCAACTCTTCCTCTTTCTTTCTCTCACTTTCCCCTTCCTTTATGTAAGGAACCTGCAATCTCTCATTCCAATCTTTTCCTTTTAATTATTCTTGTTAATTATCTTCTTCTTATTCCTTTCTCTCTCTCACTTGTGACACTTTCTTTAAAACAGCCACACACACAAGCAAGCAATCTAAAATTTGACTATGGATTATTAATTATTATTATTAATATTTTGTGGTGTTATTATTATTATTTAAAATAGTGCAATGAGATGAAATAGTTACTATAATGTTAAAGAATCAATATAGAAGCACTACTATAATCATAATACTGAAGGATCTATGGTGCGTTGGATCATTATTAAAGACTATCAATCATCATGTGTTGGGATTGAAGTGTGTTCATAAGACCAATCAGGACCTTTTCTTCTTTTGGGATGTCCTCGCATACGTAAACAAACCAACAGTGGCTATCAAAGCTGAAGTAAGAGAGTAAGAGAGAAAGAGGGGAATGAGTACAAAGGAGAGGATGGGATGGAGAGGGAAAGGAGAGAGAGAGAGGGAACAGAGAATTGAAACAGAGTGATTAACTAAGTATATTATATACGAAATTCTTAAGACTGTCCTAATCAAGTTACAATCCCATATCTTTCAATACAGAACAAAAATAAAACCAAAAGGAGATACTAGTACTTGCAGGTACATGTACAGAAGCTTGTTAGACGTGTCAATAATTACAAGTGACTGTGCATTATGCATGAATGGGGAAAACCTTACAGCAATTAGAATGCAATTCAAAACACAAATAGTTTAATTATTTATTGTAGTCACACGTATGTACATGTATCCATATAAGAGTGAGTCATACTGTCTTATTAACATACATATGATGCACACTGCTAGTACTAATCCAAGCCAGGCTGCATTAGCAGAAATCATCTTTAAAAGCCAAAGAGAAGGACACACAGACGTCACGAATAACCACAACAAGATATTCAATCTCAGTATCCAGATCTGTCTCTTGGTGAAGACCATGGGTTTGGAGGGGTTAGGATAGGTCCCATTCTCGACAAAGTATTGATAGGCGTTGTCCTAAAACGAGTCAAATTGGATTAATGAATATGCAAACAAATCATTAGTTTCATCATGAGAAATCGCATACCGTAAGACGCAAACAAAACACAGACGCTGAGCCCTATGATGTGTGTGCTATGCTCCCAGCCCTTCCTGTCACTCAAGCTTTTAAATTTGATATTAGGACTAATGGCATTCCAAGATACATGTATACTCCATTATTATTACACTAAGCATTCTCCTAATGTACATGTACGTGTACTATCCCATTTCATGTGTTCACATCCCATGCATTCTCTCGTGTCTGAGAGCCAGGGCTCATTCACATTCAGTCCCCCATTGACACTGATAAGTGAAAATGAAATGAAAAGGATGGATGGACTGATGGCAAGGGGTGCTATAGCTGACCTTGTGTACATAAAGCTGATGACAAAAATTCTGTAAATCATCCATTGTCTCTGGCAAATCAGATAATGGGATAGACCTTTAACAAAAAAGAGAAAGAAAGAAATAATGTACATGTATCAACTAAAAAAGAAGCTTGAGTAGGTAAGATACATAATTAAGAAGGTATTGGTCAGATAATCTGATTAGTTGACTTGTAAGGATTACCTATTGGCAATACGAGTTACATATATGTGCATGTACATGTACTGCTTCTAATAAAGACATGAATAACATATACATGAACATTCACTGCATTGTGGATGCATAGATAAATGTCATGAGCTTGTCCTAACTAATGTACAAATCACTAACCTCACATAAAAGAAAACCTTTACCGTGCTGCCAGCCAGGATATCGCGAAGTGTAAACTGCTTTCCATTCAAATACTCCTGACCAGCTGGATAAGCAAAGCCGGCATCATATGTGACTTTAAAATTAGCTGGAGAGTAGAGAGCAAAGGAAATAGAAAGTGTGTGGAAGGGAGAGAAAAGGAGAAGGAAAAAGGAAATAGAATTATAGCAAAATCAGAGAGAGAGAGAGATAAGCATTTTTACTCTCTACTATAGTTTACATTAAATGGAGTACATAGTGTACATAAGTATTTGGAATGAAAAGAGAGAAGGAATGAAGGTGGAAACATTATACATGTACATGTACTTATCGTGCAGAGTACGCAAATAGACATATCCATTATCTATGAAATTATATGTACATGTACATGTACAGTAGGTGCATACGATATTGTCTGAGGGAGTTGACAAGTATGGCGTATCCTTTGGTCCTGGGTAGTAAGTGATGCTTAAGTGGCTGGATTCCATTCTTCTTAGCATATTCAACGCTTTCTTTGAACTTTTCCTCAGTGAATCTTGTACCCTCACAGAATATGGTAACCTAGAGAAGGAAGAGGAAAAGGAGCTAGGTGAGGTTGTACTTTCCCATCGTCTTACTTACTTGTACGGGATAAGGATACTCAGCGAATGCTTTGAGTCCTTTCTGTATGTTCACTTCATCTCTTTGGTAGGAGCGACTCAGAAAAGGACATTCCATAGCCCAAAGAAGCTGACCAAACCCAGGGATGTACTTGACTGACTTCTTTGGTAGTGTCCTCATAGTCTGGAAAAGAAACCCAAAATTACATATTTAATGACCAGGAAAAACCAAAACCAGTATATAGATACAATTCATAACCCAATCAACTGCAAGTACTGTACATGTATAATGGCCCAGTTTTAAATTCAATTATGATCAGAATCAGCTTAAACTTGTTACAAAACATAAGAACATGTATCAAAACAATTATAAAAATGAAGAATTTTCTCCTAGTCATTTTCGGCAAATTTTTGCTGATGACCCTGTACTATATTTAACATGTACACGTACATTGTCCTCAGTTTAAGTGCATGGCTGTCCTTATTTCATTATAAGAAGGTTCTCCTAACTCTAGTTGAAACTAGTGCTGTACTGTAGCCCAAAAATAAACAGTTTCTTGTTTTATCATCATTTTTGTCGCATTCTCTTTCTTTTACATGTTTAGGCAACAATCAACCACAAGACAGAAACAGCAAGCAAAGGATACCATTGGATACCAGCACAATTGTGTCTTTATTTGTCTCTTTTAATAATCAATATAACAAATAATTATAAAATTGATGCTGGAATGAAAGTCTGTATGCAAAGAAGGGAAAGACACTTGTGATATGAGAAGAATTCACTGATGCATAGATAATGATGACAATACAAAGCCTAATATGGTGACTGTACTCTTCACATGTTAATACAAGTACAAGTACATGTACTGCCTTGAGTATAGAGCAGTATGACCACACCCGATTGACAGGTTTAGCTGGAAATTGAACTCCGCCCATCATTACTATGGATTCATCAGTCATCATTATTCGTGTAAATAAAGACAAACAAATTCATAAATAAAGGCATTACAAGAGAGCAATGAATCCATTCAAGTCAATAATAATTGGCTGTCATTCAAATTTACTACACTACAACCCCATTCACATGTGAAAGTACATATACATGTACATGTACATACATGTAACTCAATAACAGGATCCGTCTCACATGTACCTGTAAAAAATTCGAATAATAGCAAAAGACGAGTCCAATCAACCAATCAAAGTCCCCACGATGGCTGAGGGTCATAAGATTAAATTGCTTGTGGATTTCTTGATCATAAATTCTTTCCTCTCCAAAGAGTGTGACCTGGACATCGGCCCAATCAATACAAACCCATACCATCTCTAATAATAATAATAATAATAATAATAATAATAATAATTGCAGCTGGGACGTTCCTTATTAAGCATGAATTATGTATGTCCCAGAGCCTCACTGCTAAATTTCAATTGTTAATTATCATAATTTGCTTCAAATGCATACAAAACAAGAATGATAAAAATGTCGCTGATTTGATGATATCATTGTCACTGTCATTCACTGACAGGTAATGGCAGGCTAGTATTTACCATTGCCCCATTCACGCCTGGTTTTTGAGGATTGCTGCCCTTAGCTATAGGGTTATAGTCCCAATTTCAGTGTAGTACTCGGTACTCACCTCCAAAAAGAAAGAAAACCAATTGTGTTACAACTTTCCTGTATAAACTCTTATTTATGAGCCAAAGAGGCTGCACCAGCAAACAGAGGGCCGCAACCACAATCCCAGTGGTAAAGAACACGTACACCATGAAAACAGTGAAGACAGGAAAACGTTTCACATAGCTGGGCAGCTCCTTGAGGGACGCCATACTTTAATGTGAACGGAGTATAGCCGGAGATGGCTTTCTCCGTAGTCTCTAAACCCACGTGCTACAATATGACATTGCCTTGTCCAAGTAGGTGTTACTTAGTCCAGGCTTTCTTTCAAGTTCTTTGTTGTTGTTGTCATTTTATTTAGGCTTTTTGTTTAAGACAGTAAGGTTTTTCAGGTATGGCCCATTCTTAATTTGAATATAATAAGGCAATTGTGATAATTTAAATATTAATTTTAAAGTAAACATTCCATTGGCATCACAACCCTGAATCACCTTCCAATTATTCATGTGAATGCAACGTTCAACAATACCATAGTAACGGTCACTGATAGTGATGGGAAAACCGTAGCCTGGTCATCTGGGGTGAGTAGCATTAATAACTATTGTGAGGGTGTGGTTAATTTTCATTAATAGCAATTGTTCTATTAATAACATAAATTGAAATAATATTACAGTTCATGTCTATGATATAAAAACCTGCTACATGTACTTTATTCTGTTTTATTATCATCACTCAGAAATACAGTAATTAATTTTTTAAGTTTTATTATTATTATTATTGTTATTGTTGGTTTTTGTTGCCTTGTAGGGACTTGAAGGATATCGTAATGCAAGAAAAGGAACAACATTTGCTGCTCAGTCAGCTGGATTGACAGCTGCTAAGGTAGCTATCATTATGAATATGAGTGCTGTGACTAGTGAAATTTGTATAGATATAATTAATAATTTTTTGGTTATTTGGAATTTTTGGATTCATCAATTAGCTGGCAATGGATAAATTTTATTTTCTAATTTCTGTCTCATTTAGAAAGCTTTGGATTTTGGTTTTAGCACTGTAAGAGTTAGAGTAAAAGGAGTAGGCCCAGGAAGACAGGTAAGGCAATATATTTAGTTTTTTTACTTGTTTTGTGTTTTACCTTTTCCTCCCAAGTCTGCAGTGAAGGGTATAGAAGTTGCAGGTGTCTCCATTGCTATGTTGCAGGATGTTACTCCAGTCCCTCACAATGGCTGTCGGGCAAAGAAGCCAAGAAGGCTGTGACATCACACCATAACTGTATTGGAATCACTGTAGTATCTTTTTAAGCATAATAATTATAAGTGCAGTACTGTATAAAATATAAGTCTTTTTGCTTTAATTGTCATGATTTGCATTAGCAGAAGTCAATAAGGCCTGTTTAAAAGACTATATGGTCAAGGTTGGGCCTAGTTTATCTCCTATATATGAATTTGTATTGATTTTATATATAATTGATAGACACACAACATTGAGTTGATAATGATATTCATGGATGATTAATTATAATAATTGTAGCCACGCCTCTTGTGAAGAGAGATTTCTAGTGAAGAGTTAAGAGATATTTAAAAGCCAAAAGTAAATGGAAGAATTCTTTCTTTAAAGACTAAGCAATGACAGACAAAGAGGTTAGGTGTTACTGTCTGGTTTTATGTTTACAGGGAATTCCTTCTCGTTCTATTTTTCAGTCCCGTTTTCCTCCTGGCACGACTTGTGTTGGAAAGTATGATTTCCCTGGCCGTGCTCCACATGTAAGTGACATCTGGAAAATGTGTCGACTAATGTAAAAGATTTGAGCCATATTGGCATCACTTTTTTGTTTTGCACATCAGTTTTGATGATATTTGTCACCCTCTTTCCCTCTCTATCACTTCTGACTCTTTATCTACACACATGTACTTATATTATACTTCTCTTCCTTCTTCTCCCTCTCTTTCTCTCTCCCTCTTTATTCTCATACAGGACCTTCCTTTTCGCAAAGGCGACAGTTTGATTATTATTAAAGTATCAAAGGTAAAGATTACCCAGTAATTTCCTTCTTTTCTTTTACTCTCCCCCCGTCTCTCTCTTCCCTTCTTTTTAGGACCCTAACTGGTACAAGGCCCGCCATTCAAATGGGACCGAAGGGATGATACCGTATAACTATGTGATGGAGAAATCAAACTCATCCCACATATCAAACCCTTCCCCTGTCCCGCCTACTCCTTGCTCAAGGGACGAGTCAGCTGTTATGGAGAAAAGAGGAGTGGTCAAACTACACACGATGCCGTGAGTACTTACATAGTTCTGCAATACTGTCACTAATACCCAATGTACATGTATATTTTATATCTTTGTTTATTGTAGATGGTTTCATGGCGATATCACTAGGGCAGATTCTGAGGCTCTTCTCACTCCGCCTAAGGACGGGTTGTTTCTAGTGAGAGAGAGTCAGGCACACAAAGGGAACTATACTTTATGTGTCTCGTAAGTCCAATAGTCTCTCAAGGTTTTATGTTGCCATCTCTCTCTCTCTCTTTAACTCTTCTATTCTGTCTCTTACATATGCATCTCTTTCTTTCCTTCTCTCTCTCTCTCTCTCTCTCTCTGATTCAGTTACAAGGGGAAGGTAGAGTTTTATCAAATAGAAAAGGACTCGAGGCAATGGGTTTCTGCAGACGGAGAGGAATACTTTGAAAACCTCGTCAAATTAGTTGAGGTAAGGGCTCCAGTAACACCAACATTGCTGCCATTTGGATCTGTTATTGTTATCAAAAGTGACTGTTTCTTTTTCTTACAGCACTACCAGAAAGATGCAGATGGTCTTGTGTGTCGCTTACGGCACAGCGTGGAGAAGAAGGGGGCCCACGATATTGTTGTGTCTTTGGAAGAGTTTAAAAATAGTAAGAGGGAGGGAGGGAGGGGGGAAGAAAGAGGAATGGAGGGAGATATCCACATCATTATGATGATGTTGATGATGATGATTATCAAAACATTCCTTTACTGTTTTTGCTAAGAGCAGCCTTAGGTTCAAGTCTAATGGCTTTTAGCATAATTAGCAGGCGAAGGAGAACTTCTTCATTGGACATTGTGTCCTCCATAAACATCCATTGTATCCAACAGATAACAGTTTATGCATAGCCAATTCCGGTGAGGAGTTGGGAAGAGCAACTTGGCATCCTCACTCTGTTTTTGAACTTGAATAAACTATTATATATACCTGTACACATGGTACATAATGCTAATAGTGAAGCTAATATATGAATGATAGTTCAAGTATAATTATTATTGAGCTACTGTCCATGACCATTGTTAGATCTAGAAGTAAATTTTGAGGGATCAACCTAGCTGAAAATAGGAGGCTTAAGGACACCTAGGGCTAAATATGAGAGAACAAAAGCTGAAAAATGAGAGATTTTAGGAGGTTAATTATGTAGATTAAATATGGGGGACCAAAAGTCTCCTAAACTCCCTCTAGATCTAACAGTGTATAAGTATATGTTCATTAGGTTTCTGGTATCTTCTAATATAATGGATATGTACTTTTAATGGGTTACAATCTATTGTTCAGTTAATGATAATAGTTGTACTGCTGTGATGTTAACCTACCATTAACTACATGATGACTCTCATTTCTTATACTGTGAGAACAAGTATCTACTTATATCATAATCATTTGTTGGGCTTAGGAAGTTTGTTCACATTGTCCGTTTGTTTGATGACAATGTCCTCAGCTCATATTCCTTGTTGATATTTAGTGACAGAGATATTCTGTGTTTGTATTTCAAGATGGCTTAAATAACTGACACATAAAGTACTGTTACACAATGTAGCTTCTACAGGAACCCTCTTATTACTGTACCAGGCAATGCATTACATGTAACCTGTGTCTAGATATACTGTATCAATTTGACTAGACATCCAATTAAAAGTATCATATGGTATCCTCTTTCATATCAACATTTCACAATATTGTGTTGTATTATTTTGTAGTTAGGCATTTATAAAATTGTCTTATGTAAGCTTTAGGGTTTATAAATGTCAAGTATGTATTGTGCCCGTGTTTAATGTGTGGGAGTGTGTAGAGTATTTTGTTTGTTCACTTCAGCAGACTGTGTATTGTTGTTAGTGTGAATTAGCCTTTATCCTGTACAGTTCATCTTAAACTGATGCTCTTGGAATTAAGAGAAAAGTACATGTACATGTACAGTCCCCAGATAGAATGGAAGCTATGCGTGTAGGTAAAGGGGATATAGTAGAGGGTTAGTTTTTGGTTTTTAAAGTGAGACATGGCTCCATTGTCAGTATCTACAACACTCCTTAGTAATAGCTATTGAGTATGCATTTATATTAAATAATCATACACCACTCTATATACTTAATACACAGTCTACTCTATATACTTAATACACAGCCTACTCTATACAGCATACAGTCCAAACCACAGCCACTATTAGTGTGGCTTACCTCTTGGGCATCTTTTATCCACAATTTTCCAAGTGCAAACTAGCATACAGTACATGTACTACTGCTTCACCTACTGGCTACAACCAACAAGTGATACTAACTAGAGAATTCACAGAGAGTCAGTCATATATATCATTATTATTTATATTATTAGTAGTAGTAGTACATATACTAGTATGTCTACTTTCTTTTGCTCTGGGCCACTACCTCCTGGCAGGTCTACATATCATTTGTTTGTTTTAACGTTGTATGGCATAATGAATCCTAACGCTCAAGATAGCATCATCTGTTTTTATATGTTGACTAGGCATCCCAGTAATATTAGTGTATATACAGTTTATGTGGAGTTTATCAGTCGCAATATTGCATCGTTTAATTGTCTCTCTGTTTTTATTTATTGTTATTATTATTGGATTAGATGATGTTTTTCTTTTTTATCCAATACAATACCGTTGATATGATAACAATTAAACTGGGAGGATTTTTAGGAAGATGAATTAGGAGATACAGGAGAGAGAGAGGGAGAGAGAAATTTTATTATATTATTTATGATAATATTGTATCTTTTTCAGAGGGTTGGGCTATTCCAAGGGCTGATCTCGATATGAAGAGTACACTAGGGAAAGGAGAATTTGGAGGTAATTCATGTGCATGTACATAGTCTTACAGTGTGTCATCATTATTGTTTTTGTTTTTGTATCCTTGTGGCTTTTTATCTTCTTTTACATGCACTATATATGCATGTATCTCCACTTTTGTCTACTCTTATGCTTTCTCCCCCCCCTCCTCTCTCTCTCTCCTTTTATAGAGGTATGGTTAGGTGAATACAGAGGTAATAAAGTTGCCATTAAGATGCTGAAAGAGATAAAGAGCAGACAAGCGACACAACAATTCCTGGCAGAGGCTTCTGTCATGACGTTAGTTTCACTTATAATACAATAAATATGTACTGTATTCCCCTTCTTGTTGTCTTTTTATCTTCTGCTTTTCTTTTATATGTAACTTGTTCTCTATTTCTCCCTTTCCCCTCTCTCCCTCCCTCTCTTCTCATTTATATTAGTACTCTATCTCATACTAATCTCGTTGGATTAATTGGAGTATCACTAGATGAGTCACCGATATACCTGGTGACGGAATTCATGGGAAAAGGAGCTCTGGAACAGTACCTTAGGACACGAGGAAGATCTGTCATAACTAAACAAAATCAAATCGACTTTGCAAGGTAGCGCACACACAACCACACAACATGAGAATTATTTATCTGTTCCTCTTGGAATGATGTAGTTCATTATATATACACCTTGTCTTTCTCTTTCATTATTATTATTATTTCTTTCTCTTTTCAGAAACGTATGTAATGGGATGGTGTACTTAGAATCAAAGAACTTTGTACACAGGTTAGTCTAAACTCTATGAATGTTTGTGTTTCGTTGTTTGTGAGTTATGAGTACTTGCAGTATAATGGAAAGAATATGTACACGTACATGTATGTGATGCAATGATTGTATCTATGTATTATTTATGTATATGTTATTTTATCCTCAAAGGGATTTAGCATCACGAAATGTGCTATTGTCAGATGAGCTAGTAGCAAAGGTAAAGATAGTACACATATACAGATGATGAATGATGATGAATGATGATGATGATGATTATTATTATTATTATGAAGTTGCTTTTCTTTGCTTTTAATTGCATTTTGTTCTGTATTGGCACAATATTGTAATTACTGTAACTTATTAACCTACACTTCCTTAGTTAATTAAATATTGATTATCCCTATAATAACTATAAGGAAATAGATAGTACCCACATTATAGCTAACCCAATCAATACAGGTATAAGCAGTTATTTTGTTTTTATTTTGAAGGTATCAGATTTTGGTCTGGCAAGGGAAGGAGTCACAAGGTCTGACAGTCAGAAATTACCAGTCAAATGGACAGCACCTGAAGCTCTCAAAGAGAATGTAATGCAGCAATCGCAGCATGTCTTCTTATACAAAATGTCTTCTCTGTTTCTTTAGAAATTTTCAAATAAATCTGATGTGTGGAGTTTCGGTATTTTCCTTTGGGAATTGTATTCCTATGGTAGAGTCCCTTATCCTCGTGTTGTAAGTTGACATGAATCACATGTGATGGGGATTACTGGAGTTGTTTGTTGGTGGCCCCAAACTAATAATATACACATTTATGGTCGCACATACATATACTTATGTTGTGTGCTGGTTCCTATCTAAATTGGATTTTTTACAAATTTTTAAAGTTTCTCCAAAATTGGGCCAAAGTCCCTGTACTATAGTACAGGGTCATCGGCCAAATTTTGCCAAAAATGACTAGGAGAGAATTCTTCATTTTTACTACATTTTCTGATGCATATACATGTACTAATGTTGTGTAGAAAGTTTGAGCTAATTCCGATCAAGTTTGGATTTTTTACAAATTTTTAAAGTTTCTCCAAAATTGGGCCAAAGTCCCTGTACTATAGTACAGGGTCATCGGCCAAATTTTGCCAAAAATGACTAGGAGAGAATTCTTCATTTTTACTACATTTTCTGATGCATATACATGTACTAATGTTGTGTAGAAAGTTTGAGCTAATTCCGATCAAGTTTGGATTTTTTATGAATTTTTTAAGTTTCTCCAAAATTGGACAAAGTTCCCTGTACTATAATAGTACAGGGTCATCGGCCAAATTTCACCAAAATTGACTAGCAGAGAATTCTCCATTTTTATTACATTTTCTGATGCATATACATGTTCTTATGTTGTGTAGAAAGTTTGAGCTAATTCCGATCAAGTTTGGATTTTTTACGAATTTTTGAAGTTGCTCCGAAATCAGGCCGAAGTACCTGTACTATAATACAGGGTCATTGGCCAAATTTCACCAAAAATGAAAAGTAGAGAATTCTCAACTTTTATTACATTTTCTGATACATATACATGTACTTATGTTGCGTAGAAAGTTTGAGCTGATTCCGATCAAGTTTGGATTTTTTATGAATTTTTTAAGTTTGCCTTTTACAATGTACATCTCTCTCTCTCTCCCTCTCTCTCATTGTAGCCAGCTAATGACATCATGCAGTTTGTAGAGCGAGGGTACAGGATGGACCCACCTGATGGTTGTCCTCCCGTCATTTATCAAATAATGAAGGACTGTTGGCAGGCGGATCCTAATGCTCGGCCTAATTTTACTCGAATAATGAAGTCGCTTGAAAAGGAAGTGCCACCATCTTGACCTGGGTCGACTTTGGCTCGGTAAAACCACACCCTCAAATACGTCAAAAATGTATAGCAACTTCCTTATTATTACTAATTATTATTATTATTATTATTATTATTATTATTAACACCTTTCAATGACTTTTAATGATACTTTTATTTAATTTTTTTTTCTCTTTTTTTTCTGTACACAATCATGTTGTATAGTTTTAGTAAAGGAATCATTATTTTATTGATCTCCAGTGCGAAGTAATAGGTACTTTGTGAAACGGGTACCTATATACTTTTATATTTTATGATTATGTGCTCAATATTTTGCTTAAACTAAATGATAACTGACTATTTCAAGCAGCATAATAATAATAATAATAATAATATATACATATAATACATATGACTGATTAATATGATATTATAACGGCAAGTTAATGTTGGACTGTTCTTTATTCTTCTCTTGGATAGAAGTTTTTGATTCCAAATGTGACCGGATTAAAAGGCGATTGAGATGGTATTGGTATTTCATCTGATATCACTCTTGGTTGACGTGTTAAAAACAACGACCCAGAACCAGCTGGGCCATTTCCCTCCTCATATAGTGTTTCATTACTTTGTGTCACAGGCACTCCTCCTTCAGGTTTATCATAAATAGAAGGTATTTTGACTTTATCTTGATCGAAATCAAATGATAAAGACTTTCGTGGTTTAAAATCAATCCCTGGTTTCATAATTATTGATTTCAGTTCAAATGGTTTACTGTGATTAGGACAGAAGATATCATCAAATGATTGGAGGGCAGGATCTTCGATTTGTTCCGTCAAACTGGACGAGGGAGAAGATGGTACCACCTGATGATGATGACTACTATTAGTAAGTGGGTAACTTGAAGAAGGGCAAGCCTCATTAGATACTTCAGGTTTGCTGTTAGAAATGTACAGCTGTTTCCTTTTCAAGCTAACAATATGTTCACTGACTGCCGAACTCTTGCTGAGCCTTTTAACAGGTTTTTCTAATTTTGGCTTTGACGGAATCCTGAAGAGGTGCATGATATCAAACAGTCTTGAGGATAGAATTACCTTTTTCTAAGTTTAGCAGGTGGAGGTAGTTCATCCAGTGAGCAAGGTTTAATGTTAGCAAAGTCAATGTCAAATGATGAACTTCTTTTTCTTTGATTGGTGCTAAGTGCCTCAATGTCTTTCCTCACTGTAACTGTCACATATTCACTGTTTACTTTCTAATTATTACAAATAATTTATTATAATTAAATCTTAATTTACTGGTGTGTGTGTGTGTGTGTGTGTGTGACTCACAAAGCCGCCTTGATCTTCTTTACCATCGTAATCATTATTGTGACTAATTAAGATAATAACAATTAGTCTTACTATGCAATTATATGCCTCATTTAATAAAATGATGGATACATGCAATTACATGTAACATAAAGATATTAAAAATTGCTTACAGAATGCCATCTCGTGTCACAGTTGCAGATGACCTATTAATAATAATATAATTATTATTATTATTATTTAGATTTATACCTGATGTTTAGTAGCAAGTTCATACTTCTTCAACTTCTTCTCTTTTTTAAATTAATCAAAAAAGGCGGGGATTTCCAGCTGGAAGTTAAGTAGGCGTGGTTAACACTTTCCTGTACCTGTACTATACTCTAATATCTATGTAAATGGCGACCCTAATAGGCAAAACATTTAGCCAGGCTACTCGAAGCTTCTTAAAGGTATGTCCAATTTAAAGGATTTATTGCATCAGCTTTCACTAGGCCTCTAACTGGAGCCGTCTTGCTAGCTCTCTAGTAATAGCTGAGCACAATGGAAGTGATGTTGTTCCATTGACATACAACAGCATTGGAGCAGCGAAGCAACTTGGAGGAGATGTAACTGTACTGGTAGCTGGGAAAGACTGCTCAAACGTAAGTGGAACAAGAATTTTGTTTAAACGTGTAAATATACTCGATTAATTAATTGTATATTACATGTATTTATTAATTATATATATAATTATTATATATTTTGTATTTTTTTAGGTTTCAAAACAACTGGCTCAAGCTGAAGGTGTGTCAAAGCTACTTGTAGCTCAGAACGATATCTTTGATGGATTCTTGGCAGGTATTGCATCATACAAGACATAAATAGTTGCATAATATTACGCAATATGCATGTATGTATAATGGTAATGGTAAATTATTTTAATTTGGGCAATTATTTATGTTTTAGAGACATTGACTCCACTTATTCTTGAGACTCAGAAACAATTTAATTTCACTCACATTCTTGCCGGAGCTGGTGCTTTCGGAAAAGTAAGAATCAACTCACATACTCAGACACAATGTTTTGTTATAAAAAAATTTTCTAAATTCATACCTCACTTACATCAACTAGAGTGGTATATTGGTTCAATCATCATCATCATGCATAATAATAATAATAATAATATTTCTTTTTAATAGAACCTTATTCCAAGATTAGCTGCTAAGCTAGACGTTGCTCCAATATCAGATATCATTGGTATTAATGGAGAGAGAGAGTTCGTACGTACAATATATGCTGGGAATGCTATACAGACTGTCACTTCCTCTGATCCAGTCAGTCTAATCACTGTTAGGGGGACAGCATTTCCCCCCAGTGGGCCCACTGGAGGATCAGCTAATATTGAGGATGGTATGGGTTATACACACATGCGTAATATCTACATGTAAAACCAATGTATTGGGGCTGAAATTTACTTTGGGAGCACCCCTGATTTTTATTTTATTTTGTGTTATTGTTATTCTTTAAATTGTACATTTAAAGGATATGATCCATGCCTACCCTGGGATGTTAATTCATTTTAATTCACTATGATATGAATCATTATTGCCAACATATTGTACATGTAGAAATGGATGGTTAGGTTCATACTATTGTAATTGTACATTACTTTTTAAAATCCTCCAGCTCCTTCAGTCGCAGTATCATACGACCTCTCAAAGTTTGAGGGACAAGAACTAAGTATCAGTGAGAGGCCAGAGCTGACTGCTGCAAAGGCCGTAATATCAGGAGGTAAAGATCCCTGCAGCCATTAAGCTGGTAGCAATGTTTTATTGTTTTAAGGTAGGGGCATGAAAAATGGAGAAAATTTCGAGTTACTCTATAATCTGGCTGATAAATTAGGAGCAGCAGGTAATGGTGTTATTTCTTGATAATGGATAATGGGATTTTTGTTATATACATGTGTTCATGCAGTTGGAGCATCCAGAGCTGCAGTTGATGCTGGGTATGTCCCTAATGATATGCAAGTTGGTCAGACTGGGAAAATCGTTGCTCCTGTAAGAGAAACAGAGAGAGAGAGAGATCCCACAGTGATTGAGAGAGATGATGATATACTGGGCTAAGTTACATGTAGATGCATTATTAGATAAAATTGAAAGAGTCAGTATAATTTAAAATGCAGTCCTGTAAAGAAGGATTACAATATCTCATAGTCTTTGGTCCGATTTTGGAGCAACTTCAAAAATTCGTAAAAAATCTAAACTTGAACTCAACATAAGAACATGTATATGTATCAGAAAAAAAATATAAAAAATGCGAAATTCTCTCCTTTTCAATTTTGGTGAAATTAGGCCAAGTCCTGATTTTTGAGTGTTGTTTCTTAACACTATTATACAATCATGCTATACCTGAACAAAGCACTGACGAATTTTGTATTATTCAGGAATTGTATATTGCTGTTGGTATCTCAGGCGCTATACAACATTTAGCTGGCATGAAGGATAGTAAGGTTAGGATCATCAATCTAGTACTAGTCTAGTGGTTTTATTATCATTACCAATAGGTCATTGTAGCAATCAATAAAGACCCTGACGCCCCTATATTTCAAGGTAGATTAGTTTTAATCAAAAATTGAACGATACTTTTTAATTTTTTAAATATCATAGTTGCAGATTTCGGGCTAGTGGAAGATTTGTTTAAAGTAAGTGTCATTATTTCCTGATAGAAGTTTACCGTCATTTGCAATCCTTAAATCCATCCTGTGTGATTTTAGGCTGTTCCAGAGTTAACTGAGAAATTATGAACTGTCATAATTACCGTACAGAGTATTATTTTACTTGTTCTTATTTAAAAGCATGTCAATAATTATAAAGTTTAATTCAATACATTTTGGGTCTCAATACAAACTCTAAAATAATAATATAGTGATAACTTGTGTCTCCTTATTGTGACAATAGTGTCAATTTAAGATGTAGTTCTTCGGCTGGTCGGAGAAGTACAAGAGGAAGGAAGTCAAGTTGCTGTTTTATTCTTTCATCTCGGATTTCTAGTGAAAACCTAAACATATCATCACCAACGAACCAACAGTGTCATTTATCTACTTGTTCAGTATTGACGCAATGACAACTTGCTCTTCGTTAAATGCAAAATTCTGACCAATACAATTCCTACATGATATTTTAATGATCTTCTCTAATAATGTATGATACTTCTTTGTTTTATTACCTTGGTCCAGCAGAGAAAGGAACATAGGAGAAAGGATCTCGGTCTTTTGCATGATCAGGATGAAACCTTAGGGGATTATATTCCTAAGATAAGAATAATAATATCATGAATAAATAATACAACCATTTCTTTACAGTACTCACCAATGGGTTCTCCCATACATTTGGACTCCTGTGTATTCCCCCTATGTCTATGACAACATCTGCCTCTGTAGGGACACTTTCTAACACTAGCATTACTTATTGCTGCTACCTTTTGGTATGTAGTATCCTCCTATCGTAATATCTTCAGTAAGAGAACGGACGATATTGAAAACTGGAGGATTGAGTCTCATTGCCTCTTTAATGCAGCACTGAGTGTATTGTAGCTTGCTTAAATCATCACTACAGCAAACATAAATTCAGTTATTATTATTATTATTATTATTTACTAGTCAAGTTGGTTTCTTCCTCTAAGTACATCTCTCACTTCTTCTCTACATTTCTCTTGAATCTCAGGATACTTTGCCAAATAATACAGCATCCACGTTAAAGCTATGAATAATATCAGCATCAATATCAGTATCAATATCAGTATCAGTGTTACCATTTGCTGTTGTATCATATCCTTCAAATACAAACGTATCAACTTCATAACGAATCTCAAGATCACTCAATCCATCACCATCTTTTCTTTCCTAATCAAATACAGTAACTTGCTCTCCAGCCATTGCTTGTCTTTCTCTCTCACTTTGTTAGCAAGGAGTAAGATGTCAAGGAAATCTAAACACTTCAACTTTGATTTGGCTATTCTTTCTTGTCTTCCCTCATTCATCAAAACAGCTTTCCTCTCTTTTATTATCTAGTATGAAAGAATTATAACTACTGCAGAAAATTTTTTTGTTGTTTTTGACAGTTTAATTACACTTTATAGTGTACAATACAATGAAGTCAAAATGGATGTCCGTCTGCTTTAAGTGTAAACAATGAATTACCTTTTCCGAGTGTTTATGAGCTTCCCTAAGTGCTCTTCTGTACCTCCAGCCTTGTGGCGTTAAATAAAAATAAATAAAGTCGTTACTCGCAGCTAGTACTGGGTTCCTATTAATTATGAATAGAGATAGCTAATTTCAATAACATTACATGAAGCGTGAAACCGAGAGATTACAAATTTCAAGAACAGCATCAACATAAGGATCAACTTTCCTAGTACTTTACAATAAAGTTTTGACGTAAAATAATATCGTATGTTACCCTTTCTCCTGACAGCTGCTAAAGTGTGAGCAAGCACAGCGTAATATGACGTCCAGCGTTAACTGATTGATTGTGTTATATACTTCAACTGTTTCTCCATTCAGTGCACTCCTCTTCCATTTACTCTGTTTAAACCAGCAAAATATAAAACAATGGGGCCCTATCTCATACCAGCAGTATATCAGTGCAGTCATTATATACATGTACATAAGGTTTAAGGACATCAAAATGAAAAGCAGGTGTCAACAAGCGCCTGTTCCTTAACCAACGTGAGCCATTTTCTATTAATAATCCTCGTCCTGAAAGAGGAAAGAAAGGCAAGTCACAAAAGAGAGAGAAAAAATTAAATCACAAACTGACCTAACCAAGGCTCCAACATTGCATAAGCATCGGGTGACTTTGGATCTTAAAAATGAATGACAATGGTCTAGTACAGAATTATATTTTGTTATTAAATACTTTTTATGACAGTTCTGAAGTGCTCTGGTGCATGAAGCATTACAAATGCTCTAAAAGGTCCTAACCAAAAGCAATTTATGTCAATGTTGTTTTCTGTCCTCCACGCATAAGCTTTAGTAGCAAAAGACTGGCTGAATTCAACCTAATGTCATTTGCAAAAACAAAGAAGGAGAATGCATCCATATAATTTTAAGTTGAGCTCTTACAAAGTTAGCATGTCCCCAGAACCAGTGTGGAGGTGCCATAACGGGAAGCTTTCTCATTGCCTTGCATAGGTTGTAATAACGCCATAACCTTTTGGGGAGGAAAAGGAGACAAAGAGAAAACAAAAAGAGGAGCAAGAAAACGAGAGCCATCTTTGCAAGAGGGAGTGGCTGGTAGATCTAATTCTCACTAATTCACTAGAATTAATACAAAAATTATAAGGGGGATTGGCTTGGAATTCCAAATGAGGATTCCTGAGATTAGTCTACCATCCCTCTGCCGCAGTTAAAATGTCATTTAAAGCAGCTATAGGAACACTGATTAGAAAACAACCATCAATTCTGAGAATGAAAACTCCTCGTGCTAAGAGTATTCTTGCTCCTCCAGATTTCACATTAAGATTAGCAAGATCTGTGCAAGATCTGTCTATCTACAAGCAAGTTTGCAAGGAGCAAGGTTGGTTATTGGGTAAACATGATTTGGAGTTGTTTTATGCCACCGATCCCACTGGATATTACATAGGATATCTACAGGACCAACCAGTGTCCATTACTAGCTTTGTTAAGTATGGTCGTGGTCAATTGACTATTATTGGAATGTTTGGAGTGCTGCAGAAATTTCAAAACAAAGGTTTCATGTCTGTAATAAGGAATGTCATTGCAAATAAAAGTTGTGATGAAAACAATTGTTTATTTGGATTTGCTATTCCTGAAAAAGAAGAAATTTTTGTGAAGAATTTTGACATGTACACTGCCTGGGTTGATTATGAGTTCACATTCAAAGCAAAAGAAGCAGCATATGTTCTAAATGATCCACTTCAAAGCATAGCATTGGATCTTTATCAAGAACCAGACTTTGGCAAGTTATTGAGGTATGACAGTGAAGTATTTAATCAACCAAGAAGAGGTTTTCTAGAAACACTGGTGAGTCTTCCAAGCTGTACAAGCATTGTAGCATCCATTCCTGGTAGTGGAGAGATTGTTGGTTACTGTGCCATAAGAGAAACTACCGATGATGAGGTGTCTTATTTTAGCCCATGGTTTGCCAATGATGTCAACATTGCCCAAGCATTATTAAAGAAAGCAGCTCTCTTTGCTTGTGAAAGGAATGACAAAATCAAGTTCAAGTCAATAATGCCAGGTATAAATGAAGATGGGATTGGACTTGTTCAAATGTTCTCACCACTGCAAGTTGACAAGCACATTAGATTGTGCATAGGAAACATTCCTGAAAGTGTCACAAATAATTCAAAGAAAAGAGTATTTGGAATAAGCTCTCCTTGTCTTGGATAACATTACTATGAAGGAAAAAAATCAGCCATTTTGTTAACTATCTTATTTTGATTTTTATATTTTGCTTCCATTAATGATATTTAACATACCAATCCTTAATTATTATATTATTGCAGTTTTTAATCTATTTTGTATTTCCCATAAATGCACTTAGTGTCAGCTGAATTAAAGTGGCGCAAGCAACCTTCTTCTGGCATGCATGGAATCGTTTGATAATCATAACATTGTCACAACAATAATAGAAGCCATTATCTAAAGGTGGGCATCCACTATGCAACTTTGTTGTGAGTACCTTTGATGTGGGTCTGCAACATGTTGCACTCAACAATGCTGCAAAGTGAATGCCCACCTTAAGTACAGCACATGGCATATTTATTATTTTATTTTAAAATATTCTGAAAAATGAAACTTGCTCACACAATACATAATAAAAGCTGCTACTAATAACGAAAGGGTAAAGTGGCATACAACAAGAACAAGAACAACAGTCATTATAGTTTATGAAGTGAGAGAGAGATCAGCTAATGGTAATAATATTAATTTTCTCTCTATAAATTGTGATATGCATCAAAAGGATTAATATAATCTTTACAAGATGAGGTGGCTGGAATTATTTTTGGATTTTTAAGATTCGCGAAATTAAAATTAAATTCAATTTAATCAGTCCAGATAGAGGCCATTCACAAAAATTATTATCCTTGAAAAAACTGCAAGTGCAGGGGATGTGCAGGAGGCCATGCAATTCTTCTTTTGGCATGCATGTCAGAAGAAGGTTGTTTACTTCACTTTAATTCAGCACACCACACACTAGGTCCAAACTGTACATTCATGAGAAATACAAAATAGAATATGGGCTGCAATGATATAATAACTAAGAAAATCATCATTAATAAATGAAAACAAAAAATATGAAAATCAAAATAGGATAGTTAGCAAAATGGCTGATTTTTTCCTTCATAGTAATGTTATCCAAGACAAGGAGAGCTTATTCCAAATACTCTTTTCTTTGAATTATTTTTAACACCTTCAGGAATGTCTCCTATGCACAATCTAATGTGCTTGTCAACTTGCAGTGGTGAGAACATTTGAACAAGTCCAATCCCATCTTCATTTATACCTGGCATAATTGACTTGAACTTGATTTTGTCATTCCTTTCACAAGCAAAAAGAGCTGCTTTCTTTAATAATGCTTGGGCAGTGTTGACATCATTGGCAAACCATGGGCTGAAATAACACACCTCATCATCGGTAGTTTCTCTTATGGCACAATAGCCAACAATCTCTCCACTACCAGGAATGGATGCTACAATGCTTGTACAGCTTGGAAGATTCACCAGTGTTTCTAGAAAACCTCTTCTTGGTTGACTAAATACTTCACTGTCATACCTCAATAACTTGCCAAAGCCTGGTTCTTGATAAAGATCTAAATCTATGCTTTGAAATGGATCATTTAGAATGGATGCTGCTTCTTTTGCTTCGAATGTGAACTCATAATCAACCCAGGCAGTGTACACATTGAATTGCTCATACTTCTTAAGATTAATCTCTTCTATTTCAGGTTTAACAAATCCAAATAAACAATTGTTTTTGTCACAAATTTTATTTGCAATGAAATTTCCTATTACAGGCATGAAACCTTTGTTTTGACATTCCTGAAGAATTCCAAGCATTCCTAAAATGCTCAGTTGACCACGACCATACTTAACAAAGCTAGTAATGGACACTGGTTGGTCCTTTAGATATCCTATGTAATATCCAGTGGGATCAGTAGCATAAAACAACTCCAAATCATGTTTACCCAATAACCAACCTTTCTCCTTGCAAACTTGCTTGTAGATAAACAGATCTTGCACAGATCTTGCTATTCGTAATGTGAAATCATTTTTCAGTACAGGAGGAGCAAGAACACTCTTTGCACGAATTTTCACTTGTAGAATTGTTGCAGATTGCTTTCTAATCAGTCTTCCTATAGCTGACATTCTTTTGTGAACTTTCTGGTTTGATGCACCATGTGCTACTGTGATGCTGTTATATATACAAGTCTGAGCCATGGGGGGTGGAGCAAGGTTTGGTGGCACACATGCTAAACATTTCACATTAATTTTGTGGTGACTCTGCACCATTCTATTTCAACATTCTTATTCTATTCCTGTAACCACAGATGTTGCTATATAGCAACATGTTGCTTATAGTGCTTAAACTATGTTAAATGATTGTCATATTCATAGATAGTAAAATTACGTCATGATTAAATCATACTATGGTAAATTATGGTTTAATGATTACATTATTATAATTATGGTGAAATTAAAATCCTTGAGAATCAATTAAATCATTCCATATACAGGTCATTTGAAAAATTATTATCCCCAAAAAAACCACAAGTGTAGAGTTCAGGTTATTATTAAGAAGTCATGCAATTCTTCTTTGGTGGAGAAGGTTGTTTACATCACTTTAATTCAGCCCACACTAGTGCCAAAGTTCATTCATGGGAAATACAAAATAGATTAAGGACTGCAATGATATAATAACTAAGAAATTGGTATGCTAATTAATGGAAGCAAAAATATAAAAAACAAAATAAAATAGTTAACAAAATGGCTGATTTAAGCTTAAAGTTATCATCAATTTTCTTCCTTCACAGTAATGTTATCCAAGACAAGGAGAGCTTATTCCAAATACTCTTTTCTTTGAATTATTTTTGAAACCTTCAGGAATGCTCCCTATGCACAATCTAATGTGCTTGTCAACTTGTGGTGAGAACATTTGAACAAGTTTAATCCCATCTTCATTTATACATGGCATAATTGACTTGAACTTGATTTTGTCGTTCCTTTCAGAAGCAAAGAGAGCTGCTTTCTTTAATAATACTTGGGCAATGGTGACATCATTGGCAAACCATGGGCTAAAGTAGCATATCTCATCATCGGTAGTTTCTCTTATGGCACAGTAGCCAACAATCTCTCCACTACCAGGAATGGATGCTACAATGCTTGTACAGCTTGGAAGATTCACCAGTGTTTCTAGAAAACTTCTTCTTGGTTGATTAAACACTTCACTGTCATATCTCAATAACTTGCCAAAGTCTGGTTCTTGATAAAGATCTAATGCTATGCTTTGAAGTGGATCATTTAGAATGGATGCTGCTTCTTTTGCTTCGAATGTGAACTCATAATCAACCCAGGCAGTGTACATACTGAATTGCTCAAAATTCTTAACACGATTCTCTTCTACTTCAGGAACAGCAAATGCAAATGCACACATATTTTTGTCATGAACTTTATTTCCAATGAAATTTCTTATTACAGACATGAAACCTCTATTTTGAAATCCCTGTAGCACTCCGAGCATTCCAAAAATGCTTAGTTGACCGTGACCATACTTAACAAAACTGAAAATGGACACTGGTTGGTCCTGTAGATATCCTATGTAATATCCAGTGGGATCAGTAGCATAAAACAACTCCAAATCATGTTTACCCAATAACCAACCTTGCTCCTTGCAAACTTGCTTGTAGATAGACAGATCTTGCATGGATCTTGCTGATTTTAGTGTGAAATCATTTTTCAGCACAGGAAGAGCAAGAAAATTCTTAGCATGAGGAGTTTTGCTTTGTAGAATTGTCGATTGCTTTCCAATCAGTGTCCCTATAGCTGCTCTGAATGACATTCCTTTTTGACTCTTGGGTGGGGTATGGATGAACAGGGTTTCAGGAGGAGGAAGATTATAGCTGGCATGCAAGAAATCTTAGTCACGTACCAGTTACCAGTACATAATCACATCAATTACAAGAAATCTTAGGCATGAATACCTATTATTAATTTTATTTAAAAAAATTACTCTGAGAAATGAAACTTGCTCACACAATACATAATAAAAGCTGCTACTAATAATGAAAGGGTAAGTGGCATACAACAAGAACAAGAACAACAGTCATTAAAGTTTATGAAGTGAGAGAGAGATCAGCTAAAGTTTTATAATAATAATAATTATTATTAATAATAATAGTAATTCTTCTCCTTAGAAATTGTGATAAGCATCAAAGGAATTAATATATTCTAATATAATATCATGACAGAACTCATATTGAACCTAAAAAATGAATAAAAAATTAAATTATAGGAAAAAGGTACAAGAGAACAGAAAAAGATTTGTAGGTACATACCACATTCTGAACTAGTCCTGGGCGGTTGAAACGAGCTCCTTTAATGTACTGGAACACGTCAGCCACGCTCTCAATCTTGATCCTTTCCAGGACAGAGTACATGCACATGAAAGAGCCAGTACGACCAATTCCATCACTAGTAAGTAGAAATGAGATTACTGATGATATTGATAAGGAGATATTGATGATATTATCACAAAGAGGAGGAAAGATCGAATTAAAAATTATCGTTATCATTTTAGTAACGTCATCATTGTCATCAATATTATTATTGTTAGTATACAATAAAAATATCAACAACAACAACAATAACAAAAAAGGGGAGAGCCCTATTATTACCATTATTATTACTATTATTATTATTATTATATTTATATTTATTATTTACCTGCACATCACTGTGATTGCTTTATTCCCAGTATTCATCTGGTTATGTAACAACTGATCAATTAGTTTCAGTAATGGAGTCTCATCTTTTGGTTTCTCATCTTCGGCCCAGTTAACATAATGGAACTGGGTCACCATCAAATGATCAGCAGCACCCTAACAAAATACAAGAATACTGTAAATATACTGGAGTATACTACTTACAGCCGATACGTTGATGTAAGTGCTCTCTTGAGAAAGCATTAACTTCCTGATGATGTAGTGTGGCCTCTTCTCCTCAGAAACAAGTTTGACGACCATTTTACCGTAAGTCACTGATTCATCAACTTTATCAGGCCAATACTTAGCACACACCTCCTAAAAGAGAGAGGAGAGAGAGAGAGAGAGAGAGAGTGAGGAGGGAGAGAAGAATTGCTTAAGAACAAGAGCTGAATGCTGTACCTTCTCATTCTCTTCAAGATTGCACAACATCACAATAGACGACGACCATTGCTCCCAGACCATGCGCCACAAGTCCTCCACTGTCTCTTTCATTGGTGCCTGTGTCGCCAAGAATGCACCGCGATGCTTGTAACCCTAATATACAAGAATATACAAGAATGTACAAGGGTATACAATAATATACGAGGATGCACAAGGATATACAATAATATACAAGAATGCACAAGGATATACAATAATATACAAGAATGCACAAGGATATACAATAGTATACAAGAATATACAAAAATATACCAGAATATACTGAAATGTCATCAACTTACATCAACATGGTTAGCATTAATGTAGTCTCCAGTGCCACTGGCAGTCCTAAGCCTCACACGAGTCATATCATCTACAATAATATACTGAAATATACAAGGATATACTAGAATAGCGTACAGGGCAGAGTGTCCAGTTTAGAGGGGAACCTGTTCTTCCCAATATTAGTCTTTGATAATGCGTCGCATAGCAGACCTTCAGTGGGCTGACGACAAACTTGATTAATTAACTGCAATAAATGGAAAGAATCATTAAAATGGTCGTAACTTGAAAAATTGAGCTCGGAATCAGCTCAAACTTTCTACATAACATAAGTACATCAATATGTATCAGGAAATGTAATAAAAATTTGGGGTAATTTTGGAGCCATTTTTTGGAAAAAACCATGGGCTATAATAGTCTTGGGTATTTTTCAAAAATTGGCCCATTTTTTAAAATGGTCATAACTCAAAAATTTTTTATCGAAATCAGCTCAAACTTTCTATACAGCACAAGGACATCAATATGTATCAGAAAATTTAATAAAAATTGGGGATGATTTCGGAGCCATTTTTTTGGAAAAAACCATGGGCTATAGCCTTGGGTATTTTTCAAAAATTGGCTCATTTTTTAAAATGGCCGTAATTCGAAAAATATTTGTCGGAATCACCTCAAACTTTCTACACAGCATAAGGACATCAATATGTATCAGAAAATGTAATAAAAATTTGGGGTGATTTCGGAGCCATTTTTTGAAAAAAACCATGGGCTATAGCCTTGGGTATTTTTCAAAAATTGGCTCATTTTTTAAAATGGCCGTAATTCGAAAAATATTTGTCGGAATCACCTCAAACTTTCTACACAGCATAAGAACATCAATATGTATCAGAAAATGTAATAAAAATTTGGGGTGATTTCGGAGCCATTTTTTGAAAAAAACCATAGGCTATAGCCTTGGGTATTTTTCAAAAACTGGCTCGTTTTTTTAAATGCTACTCTTGATTATAGTATCACAATTTAACAGTACAATAAGTGAGTGCCATGAACTCTTAATTTACCTCCAGCTGCTTCTCATAACCGGACTTCTTTTCAGAGACTTTAGTCAATTCGTCCATTACAATCTTGAGTCTCTTTGTTGTCATTGAAGTATCGCCACAAGTGATGTACTCAGAGAGAGCATCATGTATGTACACATACTGGGCCTAATAATATATTAATAATAATATACGGTATAATAGTGGGAAAAATTGGAGCGGAAAATATATAATAAATATATAAAATAGTGGCATAGTTTTATTAATCATAAAATCATAAAAATAAAATCTGTAATTTTACTAGATTCTTCAAATTATAACTAATGCTAAACCCCTCCCATATGACCACCAATACATTCACAATAATAATAAAACTCTCAATATTAAGTGTCACCAAATTTTCGTCTAATGCCACGCCTACTTGTCGAACCACACCCACATACCTCAGTTTGAACCATTAGTACTCGCATTGTCCTCATGTTCGCCAGGAACTCGTAAATATTCAAATCCTTTTCTTGTTTATCCAACCTTTGCTGCATGCTGTCTAACGTTATGAAAGTCCCAGTTCTTCCCACTCCAGCGCTACAGTGGACTATGAGGGGAGGTCCCTCTGGTGGGTGTGTCTGACGGACACGACGTATAAAGGCCAACATTATAGTTTTATCAGCTGGAACTCCGTGATCAGGCCAAGCTAGGAAATGATAGTGAGTAACATCTAGTCTACCGCCAGTAGAGGAGGTCTGGGGAGAGAGAGAGAACATATCACAAAATTATATATAATAATAATAATAATAATAATAATAATAATAATAACAACAACAGCTTACATTCAATATTAAAAACTTCTTAAGCTTGTAGTCCACATATTGCTGCTGCTCCACTAAAGTAACTTGTAAATCGTATCCAACGTCCATAGTCTCATTAAGAGCTCTCGGCCAATAGCAGGTGCACTTATCCTACAAAATAAAAGTAACATAAATTAATACAAACATTTATTATCTTTAGAATACATGTGCATGTACATCTATAGTTAGCATTATGTGTACAATCTATAAAATTATACTTTATCTACAGTGTAGTTTGTTAGTGATAATAATACTAAAGTAAAGTTACTAATTTCCTATGCGTGTGCATTCTGTACATTACTATCACTGCTAATGATACCATTACTAATGATACTGTTACTAATAATACCATTACTAGTACTAATAAACATCCTTCCCAATACAGTGTACTTACTATTCCTCTCTCTATTAATTCTGTTAGCATCACTATAGTCGGGAGTTGGAATTCCCACACCATCCGCCAGAAATCACCAACAGTATTAGATAAGGGACCTGCAAATAATAAAACAACAACAACAATAACAATAACAACAATAATATACATGTATATGATGTGTATTTTAAATTACCTTGAGCAGCAATGTATGCTTTTGGCCTTTTATAACCCTGAGAGGAGGGAGAGAGAGAGAGGGGGGGGAGAGGGGGAGAGAGGGGGGAGAGAGAGAAGAGGTCTCCAATGCAATAAGTATAAATGCTTACATCAATGAAGGAAGCATTAATGTAATCACTGCCACGTTTATCAGGTATAGCCGTCAGCTCAACACGACTGGAATCATCTAATAAAGAGGAGAGGGAGGGGCACTAGGTCACATGACATGTCACGTGATGGCACTCACATGAATAAACGTTCTCAAATCTGTTCTTTGACACGTTTTCTGGTAACTTAGCAGTAGTGTAGGAACCTTGTGGAATATTTCTAAAAGACTATCAAGCAAAAATGATAATAATTACAAAAATGGTGAAATATAATATTAGTTCTTCTCTCTCTCTCTCTCTCTCTCTCTCTCTCTCTACCTACCTTGTATTCATCCTCAAATCCAAGGTCTCTGTCACTATGAAGTTTGGCTGTGTGAGCTGCAAATTCAGCCACTGGAATTGGCTCCCATCTCTCCTTATCAACTATAGAACAAAAATAACACTATAAATAAAGTTGACCATACTGTACAGTAGTGCAGGGACTTTGGCAAAATTTTGGAGCAACTTTTAAAATTTGTAAAAAAATCCAAACTTGATTGGATTCAGCTCAAACTTTCAACACAACATAAGAACATGTATAATTGTATATGCATCAGAAAATGTTATAAAAATAAAAAATTCTCTCCCAGTCATCTTTGGTAAAATTATTCCAAAGCCCCCTGTACTATAGAGCATGTTCATTAGATTAGTTGTACAGATCAGGTACACACATTTAATGACATTAAACTATCATAAGTACATGTACCTCTCCTTATGTGAAATAAAACTAACTAATAACTAATAACATCCTTTTCCTCCTTTA